CGTGGTAAGCCCACACTTCGTCTGGGCTCATCAATGTGTGATGGCCAAGTCGCTTATGAGATATAGAGCAGCATAGCTCAGCAGGTGGGGGTGGGTGGTGGGGGGGTGGCGCTTCCTTACCTGGTAAAATAAAATAAAATAGTTGAGCAGTTTTAGTTGAGCTGGCGCCGTCTTCTTTCTCACGCGCACGCGACACAACTGCTCCAAAAATGTAAACAAGGCGGTCGCGAACGTCTCAAGGCGCGACAAGGTTGAACCGCCCCGGGTCCATCAACGGAAGGGTGGAGTAGGAGCAGAGGAGAAAAGGAGGAGGAGAGGAGGGAGAGAGGAGGAGACGCCAGCCAGCCCGTGAGAACGAGGAAGGCGCGAAAGGGGGCGAACGCAGCTGACACAACAATCCTGGCTGTGTGGTTTGGCTGTGGTTTATTGCGTGCGGATACATCATCATCATCATCACCATCATCGCCACTAAAAGACAACCATTCCCCCGTAAACTCTTTGGTTCTTTCGGTAAAGTCACGTAGATCACGAAGTTTCGATCGCAACACAAGCAATCGTCATCAGGTGACACAACTACAGCAAGAAGAAAACTGCTGAAGTAGCAGGTAGAGAGAGCTTCCGTGGCACGAGGTTGTATGGCAGAGGTGGGGAACGTCCGGCCCGCGGGCCGTATGAGGCACCGCGAAATCATTTGGGTCTCTGGCCCTGCCAAGGCAACCGCAGGCGGGACTCGAAATTCAACAAATCTAGGAGAGCAAACCTGGAAAAGCAGTTGCGAGTAGCAAGCAACAGCGTCAATACCCGGCTAACATCATCAGCACGCCTCACCAAAGGCAAGCAGTTCCAGCCATCGCATTAGGGGTGAGTTCATTAAATGTTTGACCAAATATAACGGGCTGATTTTTAAGTTGATCATTTTGTATGGCCCGCGAATGATGTTGTTGTAAATATCCAAATGGCCCTTGGCAGAAAAAAGGTTCCTCACCCCCTGTTACATAGGTCTCGGCGGTAGGGGAGGGAGGAGAGAGAAAGGGGGGGGGGGAGAGAAAGGGGGGGAGGGGAGAGAGAAACGGGGGGGGGGGAGAGAGAAAGGGGGGGGAGAGAGAAAGGGGGGGGGGAGAGAGAAAGGGGGGGGGCAGAAAATGGGACCCCGCATCAGCACTTGGGTCACTACTTAAGTTGGTGTACGGTGCTATTTCAGGAATATTTTGATGGGGTTTTTTTCCCCAAATTTTCTGTTTGCACAAAGTCACATAGTCACTTTAAGATGTTTTCATGTTTTTGTTTGTTGGCGGTTGCACCCGATTCAAGAGCCGAATGGCTCACGGGGCTATACCAACAAAAATGGAACTAAAATGGAACCCACGTGACTTTACCGAAAGAACCAAAGAGTATGGATTGCTGCAGTCACGAAAGCTTCAAATCAAGATTGCCCCGTATCGCCCGCAAGAAAGGCTGGCGATACGGAGCGCTGATGGAAGGAAGGCACCGTGGCACACACAGAGGGGGTGGGTCGCCAGCACCACGCCCGGCCGCCTTTGTCTCCCTAGTGGCGATGTTTTTACTCAGCTCCACGTCCTCTCCAGGCCGTGCGGGTTGTTTGACCATACTTCACCACGCTGGTCAGCTGCGGGATGTTGACGACGGGGAGCATAGTCGAGTGCAGTACAACTGATTTGTTTTCTCCGCTGCCCTCTGGTGCTCCCCACGGCGTCAAAACCAGGGAAGCGCTTTTGAATTGACATTGTAAGGGGTTGCCACCCGACGTACAGAAGACCGGGACACGGTCATGGCAAGAGCGGGAAAAACCACGCCGCGCATCGAAATCCATTCTCTACGAGTGATGCACTTTTAAAGTTGAGTCCACACCAGGGCCAACCAGTTGCCGCAACCAGATCGCTTGAGAGTCTCTCTACCGTTAAAGCAACCCGTCCACTTGAAAGCGAAGAAGTTCCGATCGAGTTGGGCAGACCGGTTGCAGAGACGTGCAGGTGAAAGCGATTGCGTTGCGTGAAACGCGCAGTTGCACGCAACTCCTCTCTCGCGAGGTGGAACCGCAGTTGCGCAGCTGACAAAAAACAACTGCGGGATTTTTATGGGACCCGGGGGAAGACTGCGATAAGTTTCCCAGCACAGCAGCTGAACGCCTCGACTACAAGAGGGGGGACGACTTTGGGGAAAGCAGGCGAGGTGGCAACCCGCGCTGCCGTGTGAAGTTGAGCATCAGCAGACGCCGCGTGCATGCTCGTGGTACGTGTTGCCCGTGGTACGTGTTGCCCGTGGTACGTGTTGCCCGCGGTACGTGTTGCCCGCGGTACGTGTTGCCGGCGGTACGTGTTGCCCGTGGTACGTGTTGCCGGTGGTACGTGTTGCCCGTGGTACGTGTTGCCGGTGGTACGTGTTGCCCGTGGTACGTGTTGCCGGTGGTACGTGTTGCCCGTGGTATGTGTTAATGGTGGCACGTGTTGCTGGTGGTACGTGTTGCCCGTGGTACGTGTTGCCGGTGGTATGTGTTGCCCGTGGTACGTGTTGCCGGTGGTACGTGTTGCCCGTGGTACGTGTTGCCCGTGGTACGTGTTGCCGGTGGTACGTGTTGCCCGTGGTACGTGTTGGTGGTGGTACGTGTTGCCCGTGGTACGTGTTGCTGGTGGTACGTGTTGCCCGTGGTACGTGTTGCCCGTGGTACGTGTTGCCCGTGGTACGTGTTGCCCGTGGTACGTGTTGATGGTGGCACGTGTTGCTGGTGGTACGTGTTGCCGGCGGTACGTGTTGCTGGTGGTACGTGTTGCTCGTGGTACGTGTTGCTGGTGGTACGTGTTGCGGGTGGTACGTGTTGCCCGTGGTACGTGTTGCCGGTGGTACGTGTTGCTGGTGGTACGTGCATGTTTGTGGTACGTGTTGCTGGTGGTACGTGTTGCCCGTGGTACGTGTTGCCGGTGGTACGTGTTGCCCGTGGTACGTGTTGCTGGTGGTACGTGTTGCCGGTGGTACTTGTTGCCCGTGGTACTTGTTGCCCGTGGTACGTGTTGCCGGTGGTACGTGTTGCCCGTGGTACGTGTTACTGGTGGTACGTGCATGTTGGTGGTACGTGTTGCCGGTGGTACGTGTTGCCCGTGGTACGTGTTGCTGGTGGTACGTGTTGCCGGTGGTACGTGTTGCCCGTGGTACGTGTTGCTGGTGGTACGTGCATATTGGTGGTACGTGTTGCCGGTAATACGTGTTGCCCGTGGTACGTGTTGCTGGTGGTACGTGTTGCCGGTGGTACGTGTTGCTGGCGGTACGTGTTGCGGGTGGTACGTGTTGAGGGTGGTACGCGTTGCGGGTGGTACGTGTTGCCCGTGGTATGTGTTGCTGATGGTACGTGTTGTCAGTGGTACGTGTTGCCCGTGGTACGTGTTGCCCGTGGTACGTGTTGCTGGTGGTACGTGTTGCCCGTGGTACGTGTTGCCGGTGGTACGTGTTGCGGGTGGTACGTGTTGCGGGTGGTACGTATTGCTGGTGGTATGTATTGCCGGTGGTACGTGTTGCTGGTGGCACGTGTTGCTGGTGGCACGTGTTACCGAGGCGCTAAGGCGCAGTGGTGAGCGCACTGCGCTGTGAGCCCGGCGAACTAAGCTCCATACCGGACCACGGCCAACATCGATGCGGCTACAGATGGGATCAGCGAGCGAACCACTGCAAAATTTCTTCCCACAGTCCGCTAACCACTGCGCCACCGCTCCCCCCACACACACAGTGAGCTAACCACTGCACCACCACTCCCCACACACACAGTGAGCTAACCACTGCGCCACCGCTCCCCACGTACACATAGTGCGCTAACCACTGCGCCACCGCTCCCCACACACACACTGCGCTAACCACTGCACCACCGCTCCCCCACACACACAGTGCGCTAACCACTGCGCCACCACTCCCCACACACACACTGCGCTAACCACTGCACCACCGCTCCCACACACACACAGTGAGCGAACCACTGCGCCACCGCTCCACACACACACAGCGCGCTAACCACTGCGCCACCGCTCCACACACACTGCGCTAACCACTGCACCACCGCTCCACACACACACAGCGCGCTAACCACTGCGCCATCGCTCCACACACAGTGCGCTAACCACTGCGCCACCGCTCCCCATCCACAACTCTCCCCACGTGGTCGCACGTTCCGGCCAGAGGCGGAAGTTTCGCGCAGCCTCGAATGTGTCCGTACCACAACCGACTTCCGGCTGTCAAACTCTGAAATAATAATTCTTAAAAACTTTGCCTTGTGTATAATCGTAAAAAAAACAATGTGAGAGTATAACAAGTTAACGAACGGCACCGCTTTTTTTTACTAATTGCGATATAACTGTAATAGAATCCGAGTGTTGAATGTGCGTTGTTTTTTTTTATTCTTACGGGGACTGGCTAATTTGTTTCCACGGGGTTCCGGGTTGATGTTTTGGTTCCGGCCCACGTGCCGGGTCTGCGTGCCCGGTCGGGGTGACAGGGAGAGGGGGCGGCGAGGAGGAGGAGGGAGGCACGGCCCCGGGGTGACCTTCTACCTCTACCCTTTGGACGCTGAGACTCCTCCTCGCCTGGCGCTCATGTCGGGGAGCCGGGCACACGGGGACTGGGCGAACGAGGATCCCAGAGCCCAGGACTCGAGACTTGGCATGGATTCCCTTCCGCCTGGAGGCCTTTCTCTCTGGCACCAAGACTTTAAGACTCTCAGATCCCCTTTGACCGCTTCTTCGTAGCCACCGAGTCGCCCCAGTTGCACACAGACACACAGCTCTACACACCAACAGTTGCACACAGACACACAGCTATACACACCACAGTTGCACACACACACACAGCTAGACCCCTTCTCCACAACCACCCTGATCGCCTCGACAGTCCATTTGTTTCCAGTCTTCCCCACCACCACCCCCACTGCCCCCTACCACCCCCTACCGGCACCACCCCTTACCGGCACCACCACCACCCCCTACCAGCACCACCACCACCCCCTACCGGCACCACCACCACCCCCTACCACCACCCCGTACCCGCACCACCACCACCCCCTACCAGCAGCCCCGTCATGGCTACTGCCGTGGACAGCTTCGCGCTGCTGTGGAGGGAGCTGTGCGGGTCTCTGTCTCCCTACCAGGAGGCGCTGGCGCTGCTGGGCGCCCTCTACGCGGCCGGGCGCGCCCTGCGCGCGCTGCGCGCCCTCGGGGGCGCCCTGCGCGTGCACGCGGCGCCGCGCCTCCTGCCGCTGCTGCGGGGGGCGCCCCCCCGCTCGCTCACCGCCTCGCACGGCACCTGGGCTGTGGTCACCGGTGAGGCCGTGGTGGGGGGAGGGGTAAGAGGGGGGTGGTGGTGGTGGTGGTGCAGGTAGGGGTGGTGCTGGTGCAGGTAGGGGTGGTGGTGGTGCAGGTAGGGGTGGTGCTGGTGCAGGTAGGGGTGGTGGTGTAGGTAGGGGTGGTGCTGGTGGTGGTGCAGGTAGGGGTGCAGGTAGGGGTGGTGGTGGTGCAGGTAGGGGTGGTGGTGCAGGTAGGGGTGGTGCTGGTGGTGGTGCAGGTAGGGGTGGTGCTGGTGCAGGTAGGGGTGGTGGTGGTGCAGGTAGGGGTGGTGCTGGTGCAGGTAGGGGTGGTGGTGTAGGTAGGGGTGGTGCTGGTGGTGGTGCAGGTCGGGGTGCAGGTAGGGGTGGTGGTGGTGCAGGTAGGGGTGGTGGTGCAGGTAGGGGTGGTGCTGGTGGTGGTGCAGGTAGGGGGTGGTGGTGATGCAGGTAGGGGTGGTGGTGCAGGGGTGACGTCGGCTGCGTCCCCCCCCTCCAGTATTTTGCAAGTTAAGGGGGGGGGGGGTGAGAGAAGTGGAGGGGGGGTGAAGGAAGGGGGGTGAGGAGGGAGGGGGGGACCCCATGCAAAGGTTGCTAATCCTGACCACGTGTCTGGAAGGCTCAACAGGGACGAAAGGGGGGGGGGTAAGAGTGTGGGGGGCACGAAGATGAACACTGCACCACCACCACCACCGTTCTACATGAAGGGGAGCTTGGTGACATCCAGACGCTCTCTGCGAGGCTCAACCTGGACACGTGCTAGAGCTGGCAGCGCCTCCCCCCCGCCAGCAGAATCCAATTAGTCATTTTCTATGATCAATCCACTGCTAGACGAAGGCCAGCGCGATGCCACCAGCGCGACGTCAACGATCACCCGCGCGGCCCGCCCCCTCCTGGGGCCGAGGCCGACGTGATCGAGATCGTCCCCCCTCTCTCTCTCTCTCCACTCGCTCGCTCGCCCTCGCCCCCTCTCTCTCTCTCTCTCCTCCACCAGGCCCCACGTCCGGCATTGGCCGCGCGTACGCCCGCGAGCTGGCACGCCGCGGGCTCGGCGTGGTGCTGGTGGGGCGCGACGCGGCCCGTCTGGGCGCCGCCGCAGAGGAGCTCCGTCGAGACTTCCCCGTGCGGACCCTCGAGGTCGTGGCCGACTTCGGCCGCGGCCCCGCTGCCTACGGGGATATCACGCGCGCCCTCGGTAAAACGTCGTGGGGGGTGGGGTGGGGGGGTGGGGGGTCGTCGGTTGTATTTGTCGGTCATCTCGGTCAGCCAACACCCGTGGCACCGCCTGGGGTGGGGCCGTGCCGTGACCGTCTGCCAGCGAGGCCTTCGCCACTGCACGTGGCCTCAGGTTGCCCACCGAACCCGGCACGCGAGCGCCGTGACCACCTGCGGCTATTGGTAGTGGAGGGATGCGCGGGGAGGGGTCCAGGCGTGAACTCGGGCCCCCTAATCATTTTGCAAGTTCAGGGGGTGGGGTGGGAGAGGGGTTGGGGGGGGGGCAGTGGTGAGAACCGCGCATGAGTAGCGAATGTTACCACATAGGCTCGACAGGCACGTGTGTTGAACTGGATAGAGGGGGAGCCCTGGTGAGACCCAGAGGTAGCTCAGGCTACATATCTCGGAGGCTCAACCCGGACACATGGGGGGGAGGTGGGGGTGCAGTGGGCCCGCGGATTCCCGGAGTAAACTGGCGAGGAGCGAGCGACCTGGTGCGGTGTGTGGTGACCAATCGGCACTGGCCTTAACAAAAATAAACAGTGGACGGGAGATGACTGCGCAGGCAACACATCGTTACCCACGCCACCGTTACCCACGCCACCGCTACCCACGCCACCGTTACCCACGCCACCGCTACCCACGCCACCGCTACCCACGCCACCGTTACCCACGCCACCGCTACCCACGCCACCGCTACCCACGCCACGGTTACCGACGCCACCGCTACCCACGCCACCGCTACCCACGCCACCGTTATCCACGCCACCGCTACCCACGCCACGGTTACCCACCACATCATTACCCACGCCGTCTCACCGGGAACATCTCAGCTGCCACGTGACCTCCACACACGCACTCTTTCTGGCTCCACCACCATCAGCGTGCTCGCTCTCAAATTCACTTATGGCATGAGCGCGCGCTCTCTCTTCCACATTTTAGACTCGCAACCACGCTTGCATATATTTGTGATCTATTCCCCCCCCCCCCACTACCTGCGCCCGTTCCAGAGGGGATGGACGTGGGCGTGCTGGTGAACAACGTGGGCGTGATGCCGGTGGTGCCGGGCCCCTTCCTGTCGGCCGGCGAGGAGCAGCTGTGGCAGCTGGTGAACGTGAACATGGCGGCCGCGATGCTCATGACGCGCCTGCTGCTGCCCGGCATGCTGGAGCGAGGCCGTGGGGCCGTGGTGAACGTCTCCTCGGGCAGCTGCCTCAAGCCCACGCCCTACATGGCCGCCTATGCCGCCACTAAGGTAGCCCCCCCGCTCTCTGCTGCCGGGCGAAGGCCTCCTACCCCCCCCCCCCGCGCGCATCTCTCACGCCCGAGACGTATTTCGGCACTCCCATCTCCCTTAGGCTACTGCCACCCCCCCCAAAGTCGCCACCGCCACCACAGCCGTCGACCACACCGGCCCGCTTACTTCCCTTAACCCCTTCCAATTCCGATGACGTATGTGAAGAACTAAACTAAAATAACCTCATCGCTGCCGAGGCTCCCGCACGGCCGTGCGGGCGGGCGTGCGGCACAGTGTTGGCGCCTGCTGTCATAGAGTGCAGCGGTCGCCACGGTTCTCTGCGGTGAGTAACAACGTCTTTTAAAAAAAACAAACGGCGCTACTGCGCCTCTCTGAATGAAACGAACGCCGTGCCGCTCGCGCGTCCCCACATTCAGCGGCGAACGGGGGACCCAACCTCGTCTCGGGCTTTTTTCCCCGCAGGCCTTTGTGGAGAGCTGGAGCTGCTCGCTGAGCCGGGAGTGCGCCGGCAGCGGCGTCGCCGTGCAGACGCTCATCCCCTTCTACGTGGCCACGCGGATGACCGCGCCCGGCCGCTTCTTCCGCCGACCCTGGCTGTTCGTGCCCTCGGCGGAGGAGTACGCGCGTCACGCCGTCAGCACGCTGGGAGTCGCGCGACGCACCACGGGTTACTGGCCGCACACGTTGCAGGTGCGCGGTTCGATCCCGACCTCTGACCTCTGGGTTTTTGGAGTTTTTTTTTTTCTCTCTCCAGATCCTCTGGTTTCACCCCGCCCCGCACATTTAGACACGTGTGTATAGATGAGATTATTTCGCTGCTATAAATTTGCACGTGATGATAAGCCCACTTCGTTTGAGCTATCATTTGTAGCAACGTCGCTTCTGAAAAAATAACCTAGTGGCGTCATGGTGCAAATTTTATCGCCCCCTACTGACAGGCCGATGCCCCAGGTTACGACTGCAAATGAGTGCACCTCGTTAATCAACGTGAACTCGATAGTAAACTTGAAATTTCATGTGTTGCTCAACAGATGTGGATCGCTCAACTGATGCCGGAGTGGCTGTGGGCGTGGTTTGCGATGCACATCAACATCCTCCTCTGGAAGCCGTGAAGACAACGGCGGGATCCGGAACATTGACACCACCAGCACTTGGAATCAGAATCTTTCGAGTGCCCGATGGATGAGCTTTGAATGTATGATATCCACTCCGCTATTAGTCTTGGCCATATTAGTCTTGGCCTTATTCCATCACCTCTTCTAGCCGTGACGCGTCCTGCCCAAGCCCACTGACCTCTTTTTTTCCTCTTCCATACAATGTTTATTTTACAAGAACCAAACCTTGCCGTCCTTCGCAAGGGATCACTTATATTCTTGGTTCTTTCGGTAAAGTCACGTGACGATATCTTTGCTGCGCCTGTGGGCAGCGCAGCAAAGATATCGTCGTTCTGTGCTTCTATGTTACCGCGTCTCTTGCTCCTCCACCTTCACCAACCCGTGCTGACGAGCGAGAGACAGTATGGTCACATAACCCCCCATGACCAGCGGCCGTCACATGGATTGGCAAAGAAGCTGTAAATTCATAATCACTACATTATTATAAAATACTTGGAAAATGTACATCCAAACCTGCTTTTTTTTTGCGTGTAACATTGTGTTTCGTTAAGCCAGACTAATGCGTCCTTCAGGATACTTAGGATGCAATACTATTTGACGGACACTAGGCCACTGCACATTCAGTGCATTGGGGTACTCGGCAGACCGGCGACACCTGCGTAGCTGCCGTGCAGGGTGCGCCCACTAGGGGGAGCTTTGTGCAGAGTCGACCACCCAGTACATATGGAAGGGTTGGGCCACCTTTGGTGCCAACCGCATGCCCACGTTGAGTAGGTAAAGCACACATATATTCCACGACGAGTACCCCACCCGGCTGTAGATGTGTAGTTTTGTTAAGTGCGGAGACAGAGAACACTTTGAATGGAAAAGAAACGACCCATCAATCGCTCTTGCAAAGTTCACTCTAGGGCAGGGGTCGGGAACCTTTTTGACTAAGAGAGCCATGAAAGAAAAAATTTGGAAATTTATTTCAGTGAGAGCCATATAATATATTTTAAAAGTGAATTAAACTAAATGTCAGTATAATAAGCCTCTGAATTTATTCTTTTAAATAATGTTGTTATAACACTCACCATTAATGCGACTTCTGGTGCTGCATGGATTTGCTGATGTCTTTGTAGTCGGGTTGGTACTTGGTGAGGTTAAGCTTCATGCAAGCGTTGAGGCTTTCATCCGTTAAACGTGATCGTAGGTTGGACTTGATGTTTTTAAGATGTGAGAATGACTGCTCACATGCATACGTAGATCCAAACATGGTCAATACAGCAATACTCACACGCTGCAGTGTGTGGTATGTGACAGGAAGCGCGTTCCAAGTTTTGAGAATCAGCTGGTCTTCGGGTTGGAGTTTTTTCATTTCTGTCCACATGTGCTTGCTCGCCAACTCCGCTTTCTGTCGTGTGATTCTTTCCAAATCTTCATTCAGTGACTTGAACTTATTCACCCACATGTCTGAGGCCTTCAGGTCAGCCACTTCTGGTTCAAAATCTCTGACGGAGACACCAGGGATGTAATTCAGGTCGGCTGTGTTCAGTGAACACTCGTTTGGATGGGTGATGAACTTAAAAAGACGAGTGTGCTCACGAAATTCTCCAAAGCGTGCTTTGAAGGACTGTAGGAGACTGGATGTGCAGCCAGCTAGCTGGTGGAGATCAAGGTTTTGAATGGGCTCACTTGCTGTGCATGCATCTTTAAATTGGCTCAGTTTTTCAAATTGTAGTAAACGACCTGTTTCAAGATCCGTGATGAAAAGCTCCAGCTTGTTTTCAAAAGCAAATACAGCTTGTTGAAGGGATAACACTGTATTTCCAATGCCTTGCATTTTCACGTTGAGCTGGTTCAGATGTTCAGTCAGATCTACGAGATAGTAAAACTTGAGGAGCCACTCGGTGTCGGCTAGCTCAGGATGCCCGACGCCTTTCATTTCAAGGAAAGTCCGGATTTCGTTCAGGCAAGCCGCAAAACGGCTAAGCACCTTCCCTCTTGACAACCAACGCACATTGCTGTGCAAAAGCAGACCAGGATAGTTATTTACAACTTCATCCAGCAGTGTTTTAAACTGGCGATCATTTAAGGCTCGGGCAACAATAAAGTTGATCACACGAATGACCAGCGACATCACTTCGCCAAACTGCCTGTCACACATCTGAGCACAAAGTGCCTCCTGGTGTATAATGCAATGGAAACTTAGGATGGGTCTATTTTCATGTTCACGGAGAAGCGCCACAAATCCTTTGTTTTTCCCCACCATACACGGAGCACCATCAGTACACACTGAGAGAAGTTTATCCATAGGTAGACTTTTTTTCTTGAGCAAACTCCATGAAAGACTTGAATAAATCCTCACCTCTTGTGGACCCTTTTAATGGCAGAACAGCAAGACTTTCTTCGCGCAGTGTGTCACCAACAGCATATCTTGCAATCACGCTGAACTGCGACAAATGGCTCACGTCTGTTGACTCATCCAAAGCCAGAGAAAAGAACGGCGCTGCATTTATGTCCTTCACTTGCGTTTCCTCCACTTTGTTTGCCATCACGATGGTACGATCATGAACAGTTCTTGCCGACAGAGGCATGTCTTGTATCCGTTTGATTATCTTGTCTTTGTTCGGAAGATCATCAAAAAGTTCATTGGCTACATCCAGCATGAACGTTTTAGCATACTCGCCATCTGTGAATGGTTTTCCGTTCCTCACTATTGCTAAAGAACCAGCAAAGCTAGCCGAATTATAGTCACCTTGCCGGGTCCATACGCGGAGTTGCTGCTGGCTAGCTTGCACCCTGCTCAGAAGCTCTTGGCACGCTTTCTTTCTGCTGTCTCCCGCAGGGTATTTTGATGCAAAGGTAGCGTGGCGCGTGTCGAAGTGCCGCTTTACATTCGACCGTTTCAACGATGTAATTTTGTCATTGCAAATTAGACACACCGCAGAACCCGCTCTCTCCACAAAGGCGAATTCTTCGGTCCATTCGTCCTGAAATGTACGATACTCGTCGTCTTTTTTTCTTTTCGCCATCTTCTTCGTCGAAGGGTTAGCTTTGAGCTAATGACCGAGCAGACGCAGTCTCAGACTGATTCAAAAGGGGGCGTTTACCTGTTTTACCCAGCAACGGCAAACGTAGGCCAGTATCATCCAATTAAAATAATGGACAATTGCTCCTGCAGCCCTGAACAGGACATGCGCAGTGAAAAATCGATGGATGGATTAAAACAAGTGAGAATATTTTGTTTTATCTGCGAGCCATATGCAATCATCAAAAGAGCCACATCTGGCTCGCGAGCCATAGGTTCCCGACCCCTGCTCTAGGGGAACAGACTGAGACCAGGAGTCCAACTTAATTGGCTTCTCAGGGGCACTGTGGCGGGGGCGGGGGGGGGGGGGGCAAGTGGCCAATCAAATTAATCCAGCACAAGTGCTGTGAATTTTGAAGGGACCCAAAAAATACATATAAAATTCCAGCTGTTCGCGATCCACAGATGGACAAAGGCAATTTTCTTTTTTAAGCCATACTTCACCGCGCCGGTCAGTGTGGGTTGAAGGGGATGGAGAGCAGGACCAATCCCAATGTTGGCCATGGCCAGGAATCGAACTTGAACCGCCGGTTTTCAAGCACAGCGCGCTAACCATGATACCACCACTCCAACACAACATCGCATGGTCATGGCAGGCACATAACAATGTAGCACTACTACTACCACTAGAGCAGAGTGGTTCTTAACATTTACTGCAGCCTTGCACCCCTCTGTTAATCGTTAAACAATGTGTGATGTTAATACACGCATAGGTTTGACGAAACAAAGTAAGTTGTACGTACGTGCCCGTGCTTGTGTTTCAATGATTTACCTTCTGAAAAAATGTGGCCGTGACTCGCACCCCCAGAAAGGGCACCCCAGGTTAAGGAGAACCACTGCTCTAGTGGTAGTAGTAGTGCCTTACGCCAAATAAGCGCTACTTCAATGCCAGCCAACGCTAGCGGCGTGGCAGAAATTATCGAGTGAGAAGTGAAGCTCTGAGCATTTGGAATCACCGGGCGTGGGTGATGGTAAAACGAGATGTTAACTACCTCGCCCGGTATACAGGAGGTCGTGGGTTCCATTCCTACCCTGACGCCTGCTGCATATTTGGAGTTTGCGTTCTCTCCCCGTGGTTCCGTGCATTTTTTTCTCCGGGTCCTCCGGTTTTCCCCTCCACATTTCGAAACATGCGTTTAGATTATTTGGCTGCAAAACGTTTTCATGTGATAAGCGACTTCGGTGAGCTATGATTTGTGGCCGGGTCGCTTCTGAAACAATAAAAAAAAAGTTTCGTTTGTATTTGTTTCAAGGTATTTGTTTACCTTTCCTATACTTTGCACTCCTGTCATGGTTTTTGTATTGTTATTGTTACGTTCTGACCTGCCCCTACTGGACATGTGAAAAAGAGCTTTATAGCTCATCGGATTCTTCCAGAGTTTACAAAGAGGACCCCCCCCCCCAAAGCTAGAACAACCCTGGGCCCCCCCATCAAACTGAGTCACACTGAAGATGTGTTAGGTGTGGGGGGTCAGGGCTTCGCATAGTTTGTTAATCGCTGACCGACACAAGATCCCGATCTGAAACTTTGCTCGCAAAGGTCAAAGTGTTTGTCTTGACGTGGGGAGTGGGTCAAAAATAACAAAACACATTCGCATTCACTTCCTGGCGAAGGGTCGCAGCACGCAGAGCGAAACGACGGACACTGTGGAACCACGCGCGCTACAGCCATCAAAGACAACGATCCTCCCTTAACAGACTGTTGGGGCAAGTGCTGTTAGCGAGCCCCTATGAAGGCCGGCACGGCACACGAGGGGGTGGGTGGCCAACACCACGCCCGGCCGCCTTTGTCTCCCCGGACAGCAATATTTTCACACACCGCACCGGGTACTCATTTGAGGCCGAGTCGACTTAGGGGCGGCCCAGGACCGGTTCAGATAATCGTCACCGGTGTTGGCCCATGAGCGGGAGTCGAACTCAGGTGGCCGGGGTTCGTAGCGCTGCGCCGCCGCTCCCCACCGGCCGCAGCCACCGCAGTCTCTCTCAGACGCAATCTCCTTCACCTCTCTCCTTCACCTCCGATAATCTCACGGAATCTTAACTACCCCCACGGGACCCTCATATCGGACAGATTCAACCGCTCGGGTTTGACGACGACGACGCCGCCGCCGCCGCCTGTGCCGGTGCAGATCGTGTCAGGGCCCAGATTCGCCACGTTGACGGAGGCTCCTTTTGGTGCCACGTTTCGGTAAAACCGTGCCAATGTTGTACGTACGCACGTTGAACTTCTTCCGCACCGTGCGTTGCCAACCGTGCTAATCGAGAGGTGCGGGGGAAGGACGACAAATTAAACACAAAGCAGTTCGAAGGAAATGAGTTTTAAATCCAGATTTTAAAGTGCCGAGCTCCCAGTGGCTTCCGAACATCCGAAGAGCAATCCAGACGGCCGCAGAGGCGCGTCTGCAAGTGTGCGATGCGGTGAAATTCTTAAAAAACAAAAAAACTATTAGATAAATTGACGATTCGATTAATTGCTGAATCAAACATTCCTTTCGAGTTGATTTGTGTTGAACCAAGTGGGACCTCAAGAGAAACCGGGTACAGCACCATTCGCAAGAAGTGATATGGGTGGGTGGGGGGGGGATACTTTATTTTAACCACGCGAGCCCATTGCTCACGTTTACAAATCGATCTAAAAAATATTGATTTCTTACACACGCACAATCACTTGACAATCACTATTCATAAATCGATACATTTTGCAACCCCACCCCACTGAACATGGCCATTAAGACTCTTGGAGACTTTCCTGTATAAGTATTTACGTATGTAGAACTTTTTTTCTCGCCGTACGTAGCCAACCGTGCTAATCGGAGGTGCGAACCACACTTAATAATAATAATAATGATTGCCCTCTTGATGAAACTGTCCCCCCACCATAGCAACGTGGAATTTCCACTATCATGGTTAGCGGGTAACCGAGTTGAGCATCGGCCCACAGTTCGTCACAGAGGGGCGGCACGGGGCGGCACGTGGGGCACTTGGGGCACGTGGGGCACGTGGGGCACGTGGGGCACGTGGGGCACGTGTTTCAGCGAGGGAACACAAGACAGCGAGTGGAGTTCGCGCTCGACAACAATATTCGTCTCGTGCCCAAAATTGTATCCCCATCGCGCCGCGAGAGAGAAGAATCCAATCGGAACTCTCGCCTCCGTGTTGGGAGAGCGGCCCACGGAAGCGCGAATATCGCAGAGCTGCCTCGGATCAATTATTCAAGACCACGCACTGTCCCATCCGCTCTGCCACAGAGAGTGATGGTTATCGTGTGACGGTCACACCAATATTTATAAATTCCCAGAGCTAGAATTTAGCCAAAGTAAGTGCAGAGACACATTTAACGCGACTTTTTCTACTTTCATCTGGTCTGTTTTGTTGTTGTTGTACGTGCATTTATAGGGTGACCGGGCTGAGACCATGGACTCGTTATACAGGGACTCTAGGTACGAACATTCAACTTGTGAACTTTCAGAGATACGAGCAAACCTGTCCGTGTGTCCAGTTGCAGCTGTTCGGATCGAGAGGCGAAAGTTCAACCGCCGCGCAATAGATGGTGGGGGTGGTGCTGTATCTACATCCGCAGAACGTGAAGAACCAGTGGCGTCTACATCTGCAGAACGTGAAGAACCAGTGGCATCTACATCTGTAGAACATGAAGAACCAGTGGCATCTACAAAACATGAAGAACCAGTGGTATCTATATCTGCAGAATGTTAAGAACCAGTGGCATCTATATCTGCAGAACATGAAGAACCAGTGGCATCTACATCTGTAGAACATGAAGAACCAGTGGCATCTATATCTGCAGAACGTGAAGAACCAGTGGCATCTACATCTGCAGAACATGAAGTACCAGTGGCATCTACATAGGCAGAACGTGAAGAACCAGTGGCATCTACATCTGCAGAACATGAAGTACCAGTGGAATCTACATATGCCGAACGTGAAGAACCAGCGCCATCTTTATCTACATGAGATTATACAACTTTTAAAGCTATTTCCCGTGTTTAGGGGCGGGGGGCCTAAAGATTCACCTCTCCACAGTCTGCCAACTGCCCCCAAAGACAAAGATCCCCCCGTATAGCCTTTACAGACTGTTGGGGCAAGTGCTGCTAGCGAGTGTCACCTATGAAGGCCGGCACGGCACACGAGGGGGTAGGTGGCGATGTTTACACACCGCACCACGTACTCATTTGAGGCTGAGTCCACCTAGCGGAGGCCCAGGACCGGTTCAGATAATCGTCACTGGTGTAGGCCGTGAGCGGGAATCGAACTTCGGGTCGGCGGTGTTGTTTTTTTGTTGATGACACCCGAATTAAGAGCTTCTTGGCTCACAGGGTAATTCAAAATATACCATTACTACTAACCGTTGCACTACCGCCAACGTCCCCAACCCACCCAGCCACCCACCCACCCACCCCCTGCCCTCCTCTACTGCCCCCTCTTCTTGACGGCGCTGCCCTTGGGGCTCCGCTTGCGCGCCGATTTGGGGCTCGGCGCCGGCTGCGGTGCTCGGAGCGCCGCTTCCCGTGCCTCCTTCTCGGCCGCGTGGAGCCGCGCCGCCTCCTCCAGCCGCTCCACGAAGATCTCGCGCGGGGCCAGCGCCCTGCACCGCGCCTCGCGCACGGCCGCCTGCGTGGTGAGGGCGGGGCGGGGGGGCAGCACTAGTGATGAGAGGGCAGAGGTGGCTCTATAGAGTACGGGGAGGCCGAGGAAGTGGCACGCGTGCTCGTGCTTTGCGGCGGATGAGCATCGGCCAGTCTACCCCCATAACACCCCAGCAGCGAGCCTCCCACGTCTCACGTGACGGCCTCAAGGCGCGGCTGACCTGGCACCGGCGCCACGTTGCCGCTGTTGGTGATGAGCGGCATTGCCGCCCCATTATTTGTGAATGATAGCGGTGTGCTAACCACTGCACACACACACACGTAGACAAAGATCCCCCCGTATAGCTTTAACACACTTGGGGCAAGTGCTTTTAGTGAGCACCTATGAAGGATGGCACGGCACACGAGGGGGTCGATCGCCAGCACCACGCCCCGGCCGCCTTTGTCTTCCCAGTGCTGACGTTTTACACACTGCAGCAGGTACTCATTTGAGGCTGGGTCGACCTAGGGGAGGCCGAGGACCTGTTCAGATAATCGTCACTGGTGTCGGCCGTGAGCGGGAATCCAATTTGGGCCGTCGGGTTCGTAGCGCAGCGCCCTGAACACTGCACTACCGCTCCCCACACACAAAGATCCCCCGTATAGCCATAGCAGACCTTTGGGGGGCAAGTGATGTTAGCGAGTAGCACCTGCACACAGACACACAGACAGGACAGGCACCTGCAGCTGCTCGTAAATCGTCGTCAGCCTAGCGGCGTCCTCTGCCCTCTCCTTCCTGCCCCTCTCCCTCCTCTCCAGCAGCTCCTCGCGTCTCTGCCGGAATTGGCGGATCTCTTCTTCGGCGCGCCTCTGCTCCTCCTCCTGCACCGTCGCCCGGTCCTTCACCGCGGCCTCCACACACGAGCCCCTGCACTCCCACCACCGCCCACCACCGCCCCCCAGAGACGATGCGTTAAGCCTGACCCAGAGCCTGGCCTGGACTCTGGCACAGCGGCGGATCCGGCGCGCGGGCGGGCGATATGGGCACAATTAAAACTATTGAGCCGAGCCACGGCTGACCCGCTCGCTCAATGGCAGCAGCTGGGTGGCGTGAGCCTGAGAGCTGAGCCATGTCAGAGGTCAAGCCAGAGGCGAGCTGCGACTCGGAATATTAACGGGCAAGATTCATCGCGGCAGACCGAGTTACCTTTACAAATTCTGGTTCAGTGTTATTGACCGAATTGTAAGATTCAAGACACGAGCCATAGCAACTGTGGCCATGCAGCCCAAACTGTGGACCACGTAGTGAACCACTGTAGTCTGTGACGATAGCTCATCATCGCAGTGGCTGATATCATCATCATCATCATCACCACACAGGGGAATTTATAGCATTAGCCAAATAATCAAAACTATTTAAACATTTTTTTTTTATTTTACCAGGTAAGGCCCACTGAGCTATTAAGATTATTTTTCAGAAGCGACCTCGCCACAAATGATAGCTCAACGAAGCGGCTTATCAACGTGGATATTTATCGTAGTCAAATGCTCAACACACGTTTCTAAATGTGGAGGGAAAAACTGGAGGACCCGGAGAAAAATCCCCAAACGACCACGGGGAGAAAGACACACAAACTCCAAATATACAGGCGTCAGTGTCGGGATAGAACTGACAACCTCCTGCACACCAGGCGAAGGAGTTAACATCGCAGCCCCACCGCACTGCCAAAAGACGTTGGACATTTCGCTTCCTGAACCACACCACTGCCATCAAGCGCAAGAACACAGCCGAATGTGATGATGCTCAAACAGAGACAGCTGGTAAAGCGCGGAAAGATGTAACCGTGGCTTGTTGTACGTATCTACGTATGTTGAACTTCTTTGGCACCGTACGTAGCCAACCGTGCTAATCGGAGGTGCAGGGGAAGGACAACACACTAAACGCAACAACAAAAAGCAGTTCTACGGAAATGAGTTTTTCAATCGAGACGATTGAAAAGTGCACGGCTCCCAGTGACTTCCTAATATCGTAAAGTGATGGAGTTTGGCAAAGAGAGTCGCTTCTGGAAAAGCCACGGACGTTGCCGAACAAAGCGCCGAACACCCGCCGCCGCCGCCGCCGCGCGTGTGGGGGGCAAGAGTCAAGCGCGCAAAAAATGGATCAGCCACTCCGCACACGTGGGGCACCGCTGGCCCCCCGGATGGTGCAGAGCTCTCGGCTGGCAACCGCTGGGATTCCATGTTCCAATCTTGGTAGCGGCCCAGGGTAAAACTGGGTTCTCAAAGCGCAGTGTGTTGGTCCCAGCCCAATCAGCAATGACTGCAAAAAAAACCCCTAAAATCCTGATCTCATACATATTAGTTTGACTGGCACGCAACGAACGTTATTTCTCGTATGCTCAGCGGGCGGGATCGTGCTGCCCCATGCTGTGTATGGGTCAGAGGTCATCTGAAGGGTTTCTCAGAGGTAGCTCTGCGATGTTCCCTTCCGCGGGCCGCGAATCATTCCGTGCGATCCTCACCTGAAGAAGGGCGAGGGGTCGAAGGTCAGGCAAAGCGGCTCGGCGCGATCCTCACCTGAAGAAGGGCGAGGGGTCGAAGGTCAGGCGAAGCGGCTCGGCAGGAGGCTCATCGCGCGGCCCGCCTGCCGCTTGCCCTCCGCTCTCGTCGGCTGAAATCACGGGACACACGCGTGCGGGAGTCACAGCTCGACGCCCTGACCCCGACTCCAACCCTAACCCGCAGAGTTGGCGCGTTAACTCCCAAGCACCGGCCCCCGGCGCGGTCAAACGGCCCAAAGGTGGCGTGAATCTGGCAAGCCGTCCTAGTTGTTACTGCGGTGGCGGTGTGTACGAACCGTACAAATACTACACGCCGTCCGCTTCGCAATGGATGTGGAAGATCCCTTGAATCTGGCAGGCTGCCCTGGTTATTACTCATTGGTGGGGACATTACCGCTTAAACGAAAACGTTTAGGTTTTCAGATGTTTCTACCTGCAAGGAAAGACGCAGGGGCTTCACGTCAGCCGGGCTTGTCTCCAAATATATTTCCGCACCCGGCACACCACATCCAGAATACCTCTAGGTATGGCTGTGACTACTTGCGGTTACGTGCCACCTACTGCAATCCATCAACCGGCACGGACAATATTCGTTGAGAAATTAATTGGCAAAAATGTGAAGCTTTTCCCCAGCTCTTCCATGAAACCCGATATAAATCAGTCGCTCAGTCACAATCGTGTGTGTGTATTAATTAGCCGAGAGTGATCGTTCTTAGAATCAGGTGACCACAACACAGGGCGCTCCAATTCCTCTCGATGGCAGGGGGGAGGGAAAACGTAAAGCAAAGCCCTGTCTCTCACGGTTAAATTTTCATGGCTCTATTTGCATAAATATTCCCCTCGCCTGACATTTCAAACATTGCGAGGGTGACATTCAGTCCAGCGATTTGACACCTCTGGTGCACACAGACAAAGGTGTCCCGCATAGCCTTTAACAGACTGTTGGGGCAAGTGCCGTCACCACCTGTGGACGCCGCCGCGGCACACGAGGGGGTGGTGTGGCCAGGGCCACCCCGTCGATCGCCTTTCTCTGTCTCCCCACACCGCACCAGGTACTCATTTAAGGCCGAGTCGACCTAGGGGAGGCCTTGGGCCGGTCCAAAAAATTCACGCCACTTCTTATTGGTCATGAGTGGGAATCGAACTCGTGTACCCCGGGTTCGCAGTTCGGTGCAGTAGTAACCACGATGCACACTCGCCCCTGTCTGCAAGCACGCAAGGCAAAGTAGAAACCAAGTGAATCCTCCATCGTGAATTATAATAAACACTGTTGATTATATAAAAAAACAAGAAGATTAAATCATAGCTCCTGAGCACGGGCCCAAAAGCTCCTATATGATGTTGCCCGCAACAAACTAGCACGATTAAAGTCTTAAGAGATCGGAGCGAATACGTTTCTTAAGTTGAGCAAAGCTGAAAGCACCTGGGAAAAGGGATGATGACCATGATGGGGAGGAGGGAATTCTAAAGTGGAGCGGAGCGAGAGGAAGAAGCCGAGAGAGGAGTCATGTGACCTGCAGTGTGGTGAGTGGGAGTTGAGTGAGTGGGAGTGGTGGCGTCGCGATTAGCGCAACGCCGCGCTATGCACCCGGCGACCCGAGTTCGATTCCCTGCTCACGCCCGACACCGGTGACGATTATTTAAACCGGTCTTGGGCCTCCCCTAGGTCGACTCAGCCTCAACTGAGTACCTGGTGCAGTATGTAAACTTCGCCGCTCGGCAGACAAAGGTGTACCGGGCGTGGTGCTGACAGCCCGCCACCTTGTGTACCGTGCCGGCCCTTCATAGCTGCTCGCGAACAGCGCTCGCCCAAACGTCCCGTTAAACGGGGGAGATCTTTGTGGTGGTGAGTTAGTCAGCTCACTGATCTACGAACCCGGCAACCTGAGTTCGATCCCCAGCCTCGGCTAACGTCAGTGGCGAGCGATATCTGACCCCGGTCCCGTGCAGCACGTATCCCCCCGCTCCCCCCCCGGTGGGTGTGGCTGCGGTTGTTTTGTTTGTACCGAGTGGCGACGGCGTCACTTCTCCCGTGGGCGGTGGGGCTGGTGTCTGAGCGGCGCGCATCTTGCTCAGGAATTCCCGCCGAGCCTTCAGCGCCTGTGGGTCGGGTGGCGGGGTGCGTGGCACGCGCGCGGCACGTGCAGTGCGAGGAGCAAGAGGGCACGCAGGGCGCTCACGTCAAGTATGGCACACACGGAACAAAGACAACGATCCCCCCCCCCCCCATAGCCTTTTAATAGACTATATTCTTGGTAATAATCAAAATACAGTGAATATTCACTTTATTTTCATTATAATTGTTCTATCTACGTGACCAAAGAATATGAATTCCTGCAGTCACGAAAGTTTTAAGTCAAAATTTCGACAGACTGTTGGTGCAAGTGCTGTTAACGAGCACCTATGAAGGTCGACACATCACAGGGGGTGGGTGGCCAACACCACGCCCGGTCACCTTTGTCTCCCCAGTGCTGATATACATACCGCACCAGGTGCTCATCTGAGGCCGGGTCGGCCTAGGGGAAGCCCAGTACCGGTTCAGATAATCGTCACTTCACTGGTGTTGGCCGACGAGCGGGAATTGAACTCGGGTTGATGGGTTCGTAGCGCGACGTGCAAACCTCCACACTACCGCTCCGCACATCATCACCACCACCACCGTGCACTAAGCTTGATCCCTTGCTCACGAGCGGGAATCGAATTTGGGTAGCTGTGTTCGTAGCGTAGCGCGCTAAGTGCTCCACCACCGCTCCCGAAACACACAAGAACACGCAGCACCACACATACAACCGTGCCACGCACTCCCCCCCCCCCCGTCACCTTGGCCGCCCTCCCGGGCTCGGCGAGCTCCCATGCGAGCTTGACGTGGCGGGCGCCGTCGGCCCGGTCGGTGTCACGCCACAGCGTGAGCGGCTCCTCCGTCGCGTCGCTCAGCACGCGCAGCGTCCAGTGCGGGCGGCCCACCTCCAACGCAGGCTGGGCACCCGCGCACAAAGACAAAAGGTCCGTTAGCGAGCAGCAGCACCTACGAAGGCCGGCACTGTGGCACACGAGGGGGTGGGTGGGTGGGTGGGTGGCCGGCACCAGGCCCGGCGTACGTACGACGTACGAAGAGAGCGGTCCCCTCCGCCCCGAGCGCCCTTTCACAGGGTGTAGGGGCAAGCGGCTGGTCACAATCAATTAATGAGTAAACATTCTACGGTCACGGGCGGGTAAAGAAACCCCATCTCGGCAGCGCCGGCTCAGAGTCCACTAGCCCTCCGCGAGCCCACGACCTCCCGATGGAGAACCCGCAGACAATACACCTCCCTGCGGGTTTGGCAACGGGACACTGGACGGGAGGCTGAACGGGATGCTGGAGGAAAGGCTGGACGGGACGCTGGACGGGACGCTGGACGGGAGACTGGACGGGAGGCTAGACGGGACGCTGGACGGGAGACTGGACGGGAGGCTAGACGGGAGACTGGACGGGAGACTGGACGGGAGACTGGACGGGACGCTGGACGGGAGACTGGACGGGAGACTGGACGGGAGACTGGACGGGAGACTGGACAGGAGACTGGACGGGAGACTGGACGGGAGACTGGACGGGAGACTGGACGGGAGACTGGACAGGAGACTGGACGGGAGACTGGACAGGAGACTAGATGGGAGACTGGACGGGAGACTGGACGGGAGACTGGACGGGACGCTGGACGGGAGACTGGACGGGAGACTGGACGGGAGACTAGATGGGAGACTAGATGGGAGACTGGACGGGACGCTGGACGGGAGACTGGACGGGAGACTGGACGGGAGACTGGACGGGAGACTGGACAGGAGACTAGAGGGGAGACTGGACGGGAGACTGGACGTGAAGCTGGACGGGAGACTGGACGGGAGACTGGACGGGAGACTGGACGGGAGACTGGACGGGAGACTGGACGGGAGACTGGACGGGAGACTGGACGGGACGCTGGACGGGAGACTGGACGGGAGACTGGACGGGAGACTAGATGGGAGACTAGATGGGAGACTGGACGGGACGCTGGACGGGAGACTGGACGGGAGACTGGACGGGAGACTGGACGGGACGCTGGACAGGAGACTAGACGGGAGTCTAGACGGGAGACTGGACGGGACGCTGGACGGGACGCTTGACGGGAGACTGGACGGGAGACTGGACGGGAGACTAGACGGGACGCTGGACAGGAGACTAGACGGGAGTTTAGACGGGAGACTAGACGGGATGCTGGACGGGAGACTGGACGGGAGACTGGACGGGACGCTGGACGGGACGCTGGACGGGACGCTGGACGGGAGACTGGACGGGAGACTGGACAGGAGACTAGACGGGACGCTGGACAGGAGACTAGACGGGAGTCTAGACGGGAGACTAGACGGGAGACTGGACAGGAGACTGGACGGGAGACTGGACGGGACGCTGGACAGGAGACTAGATGGGAGACTGGACGGGAGACTGGACGTGACGCTGGACGGGAGACTGGACGGGAGACTGGACGGGAGACTGGACGGGAGACTGGACGGGAGACTGGACAGGAGACTGGACGGGAGACTGGACGGGAGACTGGACGGGAGACTGGACGGGACGCTGGACGGGAGACTGGACGGGAGACTGGACGGGAGACTAGATGGGAGACTAGATGGGAGACTGGACGGGACGCTGGACGGGAGACTGGACGGGAGACTGGACGGGAGACTGGACGGGACGCTGGACAGGAGACTAGACGGGAGTCTAGACGGGAGACTAGACGGGATGCTGGACGGGAGACTGGACGGGAGACTGGACGGGACGCTGGACGGGACGCTGGACGGGACGCTGGACGGGAGACTGGACGGGAGACTGGACGGGACGCTGGACGGGAGACTGGACGGGAGACTGGACGGGAGACTAGATGGGAGACTAGATGGGAGACTGGACGGGACGCTGGACGGGAGACTGGACGGGAGACTGGACGGGAGACTGGACGGGACGCTGGACAGGAGACTAGACGGGAGTCTAGACGGGAGACTAGACGGGATGCTGGACGGGAGACTGGACGGGACGCTGGATGGGACGCTGGACGGGACGCTGGACGGGAGACTAGACGGGACGCTGGACAGGAGACTAGACGGGAGTCTAGACGGGAGACAAGACGGGACGCTGGACAGGAGACTAGACGGGAGTCTAGACGGGAGACTAGACGGGAGACTGGACAGGAGACTAGACGGGAGTCTAGACGTGAGACTAGATGGGAGACTAGACGGGACACTGGACGTGACGCTGGACGGGAGGCACCGCGTGCCCACCTGTGCGTCGGCCGGCGCGCCGCCCTGCTTGCCGCGGTCCTTGTCGCCAGCCCCTTTGCCGCGCCGTGTCGTCCTCGCGGTGGAACTGCCGCCGGCACCGGCGGCGCTCCCCCGCGGGGCATCTGCCTGCGCCACCGAGGCGGGCGCCTCCTCCGTGCCCGCCGATTGCTCCTCCGGCTTCTCCACGACCACTGTAGATGAAAGCGACACGTACGGGCACGTCACGCGCGTGCCCACGTGTGGACAAAGATAAACGACAACCACCACCCCCTCAACAAAGTAGATCTTAAAGAATTCCAATGAAACTTGAATGGGTTATAAAAAAAATACACGTGGGTTATCAAGTTCATCCATAGCCCTTTAAATTGGTCAGAAGCTGCATTGCCATCTACTGTTGTACAATCCGCAGAGCAGCGCCGTCTCTAAAAGATGAAATAACGTCTCAGATGGCTGGGAGAAAGTCAGAGATGGCTGGGAAAAAGTTTCAGATGGCTGGGAGAAAGTCTCAGATGGCTGGGAGAAAGTCTGAGAGGGTTAAGAGAAAGTCTCAGATGGCTGGGAGTAAGTCTCAGGTGGCAGGGACAAAGTCTCAGATGGCTAAAATAAAGTCAGAGATGGCTGAGAGAAAGTGTCAAATGGCTGGGAGAAAGTCAGCAATGGCTGGGAAAAAGTTTCAGAGGGCTAGGAATAAGTCTCAAGAGAAAGTCTCAGATAGGTGGGAGAAAGTCTAAGATGGCTAAGACAAAGTATCAGATGGTTAAGAGAAAGTCTCAGATGGCTGGGAGGTCTCAGATGGCTAAGAGGAAGTCTCAGATGGCTGGGAGAAAGTCTCAGGTGGATAAGAGATAATCTCAGATGGCTGGGAGGAAATCTCAGATGGCTGGGAGAAAGTCTCAAAGGGCTAGGAGAAAGTCTCAGATGGGTGGGAGAAAGTCTCAGATGGGTGGGAGAAAGTCTCATATGGCTGGGAGAAAGTCTCAGATGGGTGGGAGAAAATCTCATATGGCTGGGAGAAAGTCTCAGATGGCAGGGAGGTCTCAGATGGCTAAGAGAAAGTCTCAGATGGGTGGGAGAAAGTCTCAGATGGCAGGGAGGTCTCAGATGGCTAAGAGAAAGTCTCAGATGGCTGGGAAAAAGTCTCAGATGGCAGGGAGGTCTCAGATGGCTCGGAGAAAGTCTCAGATGGCTGGGAGAAAGTCTCAGATGGCTGGGAAAAAGTCTCAGATGGCTGGGAGAAAGTCTCAGATGGCTAAGAGATAATCTCAGATGGCCGGGAGGAAATCTCAGATGGCTGGGAGAAAGTCTCAGATGGCTAAGAGATAGTCTCAGATGGCTGGGAGGTCTCAGATGGCTAAGAGGAAGTCTCAGATGGCTGGGAGAAAGTCTCAGGTGGATAAGAGATAATCTCAGATGGCTGGGAGGAAATCTCAGATGGCTGGGAGAAAGTCTCAAAGGGCTAGGAGAAAGTGTCAGATGGGTGGGAGAAAGTCTCAGATGGGTGGGAGAAAGTCTCATATGGCTGGGAGAAAGTCTCAGATGGGTGGGAGAAAATCTCATATGGCTGGGAGAAAGTCTCAGATGGCAGGGAGGTCTCAGATGGCTAAGAGAAAGTCTCATATGGCTGGGAGAAAGTCTCAGATGGGTGGGAGAAAGTCTCATATGGCTGGGAGAAAGTCTTAAAGGGCTAGCAGAAAGTCTCAGATGGGTGGAAGAAAGTCTCAGATGGCAGGGAGAAAGTCTCAGATGGGTGGGAGAAAATCTCATATGGCTGGGAGAAAGTCTCAGATGGCAGGGAGGTCTCAGATGGCTAAGAGAAAGTCTCAGATGGGTGGGAGAAAGTCTCAGATGGCAGGGAGGTCTCAGATGGCTAAGAGAAAGTCTCAGATGGCTGGGAAAAAGTCTCAGATGGCAGGGAGGTCTCAGATGGCTCGGAGAAAGTCTCAGATGGCTGGGAGAAAGTCTCAGATGGCTGGGAAAAAGTCTCAGATGGCTGGGAGAAAGTCTCAGATGGCTAAGAGATAATCTCAGATGGCCGGGAGGAAATCTCAGATGGCTGGGAGAAAGTCTCAGATGGCTAAGAGATAGTCTCAGATGGCTGGGAGGTCTCAGATGGCTAAGAGGAAGTCTCAGATGGCTGGGAGAAAGTCTCAGGTGGATAAGAGATAATCTCAGATGGCTGGGAGGAAATCTCAGATGGCTGGGAGAAAGTCTCAAAGGGCTAGGAGAAAGTCTCAGATGGGTGGGAGAAAGTCTCAGATGGGTGGGAGAAAGTCTCATATGGCTGGGAGAAAGTCTCAGATGGGTAGGAGAAAATCTCATATGGCTGGGAGAAAGTCTCAGATGGCAGGGAGGTTTCAGATGGCTAAGAGAAAGTCTCATATGGCTGGGAGAAAGTCTCAGATGGGTGGGAGAAAGTCTCATATGGCTGGGAGAAAGTCTTAAAGGGCTAGCAGAAAGTCTCAGATGGGTGGGAGAAAGTCTCAGATGGCAGGGAGAAAGTCTCAGATGGGTGGGAGAAAATCTCATATGGCTGGGAGAAAGTCTCAGATGGCAGGGAGGTCTCAGATGGCTAAGAGAAAGTCTCAGATGGGTGGGAGAAAGTCTCAGATGGCAGGGAGGTCTCAGATGGCTAAGAGAAAGTCTCAGATGGCTGGGAAAAAGTCTCAGATGGCAGGGAGGTCTCAGATGGCTCGGAGAAAGTCTCAGATGGCTGGGAGAAAGTCTCAGATGGCTGGGAAAAAGTCTCAGATGGCTGGGAAAAAGTCTCAGATGGCTGGGAGAAAGTCTCAGATGGCTAAGAGATAATCTCAGATGGCCGGGAGGAAATCTCAGATGGCTGGGAGAAAGTCTCAGATGGCTAAGAGATAGTCTCAGATGGCTGGTAAGAAGAGAAGAAAACCGAATTGGAAACACCAGGGCAGATAATAAGAGGCTGACCTAGAAACACGTGGTTCCAAGTGATATGAAGGACTGTGGTTCAGGATTATGTAGTTGATGGTCTGGTCGTTGTTTCTGCAATCACTTTCTTTGAATATCCTCTTGTGAACGTAGTTGTGTTTGTCAATGTATGTGTGTGTGTGCGAGGCTGTGTTGGCTGGATCATGTTGCCCGCATGCCCAGCCACCACGTGTCCAAGCGGCTTTTGTGTGCCTAAAGAGGACTAAATAAGTGCAGCATGGGCTGCAGATCAGATAGGCTGATGGGGTACAGGAGGATGTGGAGCTGAGTGAATTTGCCAATGATTGGTACCAGCGGTGTTAAGATCGCCCTCGATGGAGGAGGCTCGTGAAGGACACTACTGGGCAATTGAAGGCGGTCGCCCTCCAACAACAACGGAGGGCAGAGCAGCAAAGCTCACAACAACGAGCGGAGCGCCTTGCGGCTAAAGCAAAGCGAGTTGGCACAGTAGGGAGCACAGGCGGTTCATCTGTCAATCATCTGAGTCAGTCAACCCATGGCACCTGGATCAGTCGCGTGACCTCTTACCAGCAGTGAGCCTTCCAAACTTCACGTGGCCTCGAGGTGCAAAGACAAAGATGCCGTGTATAGCCTTAACAGACTGTTGGGGCAAGTGCTGTTAGCGAGCACCTATGAAAGCCAGAAATGCACCACGCCCAGCCACCTTTGTCTCCCAAGTGGCTATGTTTACGACACACCGCACCAGGTACTCATTCGACCTCGGGGAGGCCCAGAATCGCTTAAGATAATCGTCGCCAGTGTCGTCCGTGAGCGGAAAACGAACTCGTGTCGCCGTGTTCATAGCACAAGCACACGTACTGCGACGCTACCGCTCCCCATGTCATCACCACCACCACCACCATTATCATCGTCACGACCATCATCAAGGTGCACCTAGCCTGGCACACATACTCACGCTTGAGCTCGGCGCGCTCCTTCTCGCGCAGCGTCTCCGCGAACGCGTTGTCGTCGTCGCTGAGCGGCCACGAGTCGCACAGCACCCGCATCTCCAGCACGTACACGGGCGCCGGCTACACACGCACACAAAGACAAAGATCCCCCGTGTAGCCTCAACAGATTGTTGGGGCAAGTGCTGTTAGCGAGCACCTATGAAGGCCGCAACGGCACATGAAGGGGAAAACACGCCTCACCAAGTTTGACTCCCGAGTGGCGATATTTACGCATTGTACCAGGTACTCGTTTGAGGCCGAGGCGACCTAGGGGAGGACCAGGACCAGTTAAAATAATCGTCACTGGTGTTGACCGTGAGCGGGAATTGAACTCGGGTCGACGGGTTCGTAGCACAGCGCGCTAACTGCGACACTACCGCTACATCAACCGCAAATCGTCACTAAGTGGCGGTGACGTCACCACGGCGCTTGTGCCAGGCTAGGTGCACGTTGAGCCCAGGAGATCACGGGGCAGACCAAGCAGGTGGCACGGGTCGACTGACTGAGATGAGTGGCCGATGCGCCACCTGTGCACCCTACCGTGCCAACTTGCTGTGCTTTAGCCACCCGGCGCTCCGCTCATTGTTGTGAGCGTCGCTCCTCCGCCCTCCGTTGTTGTTGGAGAGCGACTGCCTCCAACTGCCCAGTAGCGTCCTTCATTAGCCTCCTCCACAGAGGCCGATCTTGACACCCCTGGTACCAGTCATCACTCCATCTCTTCTCTAGCCCGTGCCGTGCCCGTTTAGCCCCCTCTATCCAGCCGAACAAAAGTTGTTTAGGCATGCGGTCGCTTTCGAGGATTTGTGAGCTCCTCACAAATCCTCAGGATTGATCATAGGCAGGCCAGCCTAAATGTTTCTAACCGGCGAAGATGTTCCATTATGGGGGTCCACGTTTCGCAAGCGTAGAGAAGGGAGACCACGTAGCTTCCACACAGCGTTACGCAAACAAGGAAAATATAATGCCGCTCGACTGATTCGGCGTGAGATCTCTGCTGTCAAACCAGAGCAGGTCATGAGCACACACACGCACACATACACACACACGCACGCACACGCGCACACACACACACACATGGTGCACATGCATACACACATGCGGCGCGTGCACACACAACAAAGATCACCCCCCCCCACCCCCCCGTATAGCCTTTTAACAGACTGGCGGGGCAAGTGCTGTTAAAACTCAACGATAAATTATTTTTATTTTACCAGGTAAGGCTCACTGAGCTATGTGTAGATCTTTTTTTCAGAAGAGACCAGGCCGCATATGATCGCTCAACAAAGCGGCTCATCGTGTGGAAATCCAGTGCATGTATCCCCATTGATTGCGTCTACATTGTCCAGGCCATAATGCTCTTCACCAAAAAGTCCTTCGTAACCAATTTCATCCCGAGCGTTGCTATCAGTGTAATGTCACCACGTGACGGCAGCCCATCCGAGCGCTATCCAGGCTCAATCCCCGCTAAGCTTCCGAGACCGGGCGCGACCGGCCAAAGAGCCATACGCGCAAATGTCCGCGCCGAGACAGGAAGACAAGAGGTGGACTGCCAAGAGCGGTGGCGATGGTGCAATGGGAGGCCGTTATTGAAACGGGCGGTTCCATCTGCGCACGCTCTCTCCGCGGCCTCCGCGCGACCCTCTCCCGCCGCTCACCTGCTCAGGCTCAGCTCGCAGCATCTCCGGAGCCGCCAGGGTCTGAGTTCGAGCCTCCGCTTCGGACTGCGGTGGCGCGGGAGCCAGGCCGCTGGGGGGCCGCGACGTCGTCGTGGACGACGACGCTGACGACGACGACGCCGCCGTCGCCCTTCCCGTCTTGTGCCCACCGCCGGACTTCCTGACGGGCGGCGGAGCCGGGTTCATGGGGGTTGGAGACTTGGCACCGCCGTTACTGGCCGGAGCTATCACGGAAGTGGCGGCGTTGGGGGAGGGGAGATGGGGAGAGAAAAAAATTATGGGGTGGGTGATATTGCGGACCAGCGATGTCGCATTCGCCGCTTGTTGTGGAGGTTCGCGGTTGGTATATGCAAAATATTATAATGTTTTGCTGGGTAAGACCCACCGAGCTATGAAGCTCTTTTTCAGAAGCGACCTGGCCACAAATGATAGCCCAACGAAGTGGCTCATCACGTGGAAATTTATAGCGGCCGCGGGGAGAGAGACACCGCAAACTCCAAATATACAGCGGGCTTCAGGGTCGTGATCGAACCCACGACTTGCTGTAGACCGGGCGAGGTAGTTAGCATCTTGCAAACCGCGGCGCTCCTTAACAGAACAATCGTGGTCTGCCTGCTTCGCAGTGGACGTTCAAGATGTTGTGACGTAATTCGAAAAAGAGTCGGGGCATTGCGTGCCCGATGACACGGGTCAAAACATCACACCGGCAACCGCTCCAATGGGGATTACCCATGACAGCAGCGATCATCGCCCCCCCTCCTACTCGCCAACTGCTGCCACGCTTGCAGGCCAGGTGCCGCGTTTCATTTGTGTTGCACAGAGGTGGTGGGTGGGGGGGGTGTGCCCTTCGAATGTGAGATGGCGACGCGAGACGTACGGCGATTGTCGCACAAAGGAGGGCGGCTCCATCAAAAACCAAAATCATCGTCGCCGTCGTTATGACGACGACGATTATTATTCATACATCACTCGTCTCGGAGGAGCGACGCAACGAGACACGTTGCTGAGGGGGACGCCACTCGCGACCGCTCGCCGCCGATTGATTTGCCCGAGTGTTGACGGACATGACAAACAACACTATTTTAGGATTATCTTTGCAGAGCCGTGTGCTGCATCGAAAAAAACAAATGAACGAATAATAATAGTAATTTATAAGGCGGCAGAGTGTGGTGTTTGCGACCCACCCCCTCGTGTGCTGTGCATAACACTTTCCCCAACAGTCTGTTCAGGCTATACGTGGGATATTTGTCTTTGTAAGTGGGTGGAGAGCAGTGGCATAGTGGTTAGCACACTGTGCAATGAACCAACCAAAATCATTTGGAACACCGCCCACGGCTAACATCAGCGACGAGTGTTACCTGAACCCGTCCTCGGCCTCTGCGCACTTCACCAACCCGCACTGACCAGCATGGTGAAGTATGGTCAAACAACATGCATGACTGGCACCCTCTGCTGCCCATGGCGTAGCCCCACAGCCTATGACCCCCACCCAAGCATCATCCAGGTTCAACCTCGCTTAACGCCTGAGATATGACCAGGCCAGGTGCATTCTGGGCAAATTGAAAGTGCTCATCTCCTGTTTCACAACCCTTGAGCCAGTTCACCACGGAAATTCCACATTCCTATGGCAGGGGTGAATATATCCAGAGGACAAGCACCATTGACGTCTCAACAAAGTGGTATTAATTTTATCGACCCCGGGAGGGACGACGGGCTGAGTTCAAACCCCAAACAGGATTTTAACCTGCGGCCCTTCCGTTGGTGAGCCGCTCGCTCTACCGCTGCGATGCACGGCGCACGGCACCGCGCAAAGCGCGGCCTCCCATAATGCACTGGCCGGCCTGGCAAGGAGCCAGCGTGCACGGGGCGCCCGGGCCCGGCCTTTTAATTTTACAAAACCGCACAGAGTTAGGTCTCGCGATAGAGATGCTTGCAAGACAGCAGCGTTCTAATGTAAAGTAATGGGTTTAATCACTAGGAATGTTGCTTTCGTTGCCTTGGGGGGGGAAGGGGGGGCGGGGGGTAGGCTAGCTAGTGGAGACAAATGATTACGGCTTTTCTACCGGTTGGAGGAGACCTTTTAAAGAGCCGGGGATAATTGAAAATCGGTGCGGCGGGCACCCGGCAGGAATTGGCCTTTAGCGCAGCCTTGCGGGCTGGATCACTGCCGTGGGTCTCTGGGGTTGTGCCGTGCAGCTCTCCCGTGTGCGGCCAGGGGTCCTGCCGCTCGCTCTGGGTGTGTTCTGCCGCGCGACGTCCGACGTTCCGCTCCGCGTGCTGGGAGCCGCTTCCGCTCCGTTTCCGCGACACTGGAGCGGCACGGCCTGACAGCGCGTCGGAGTGCAACCGCGAGCGAGCTCGTGGAAGTCGACCGATTTGCATTTCCCTGCCCGAGCGTGAATCGGTTACTGACGGAGACCCCGGCACGTGCAGCGAAACGTCGGACTACATGCTGAAACCGGTGTAGGCTGGCTTAAATAAGGTAAAAAAAATACGCCCTCCGCTGACTCAAATCACCCGTCGACTGCGCCGATGTCATCAGATCCCGAAGGCTAAGCAATGGCTGGGCCTTGATAGCCCCTCGAATGGGGAGACCGTCATGCGTAGCAGCGTGTGATCACACACAGACGTCGTGAAGCTCACTACCCGTGAAAATCGCCCGTGCCACACACTGGCTCGCCAGGAGATGCCAGTGGACCAAACGTGGACACCTCACCCGGTCGATTCGTACGGGGACAGAGCGTTGAACCCTCACGCGCGCGGATATTCCGGCTGAAAACATCTCGATATGCAGAGGACTGCAGACCTCGGGTGAATGTTTGGTCGCGCCTTCCCACTTGTCCGTCCTCGCACCGCTCTCATCGGCAACGAGCGAAAGCTGCACGGCGGTGGCGCGTTACGACTCGAAATTAATTCATGAGGTTTTTTTTTTTGGGGGGGGTAAGATCGCATCAGTAAGTGTGTGTCGTGAACCCACCGCCACCCGACACACCCAGTTGGCGAGGTTTAATCACGTAAACAAATCGTGCCGATTAGTTACTACTTCAGCACGCCGGACGCGTTGGAGAGTAAACCCGCAACGCTTACGATTCGAGTACACCGTGACGTTTCTCCGGTGATTGCAACAACCGGCTGAAAATGAGCCTGCCACCACCCTCCTCTCACCCCCCCACCACTAGCACCCTCCCTCCCTCTCGGCGTGTCCCCACGTGCGCCGTCTCACCGCGCTGGGTGGCCGAGCGGCGCCGGGCTCCCCGCAGCGCCGCGGCGACGATGGCGGCGTCGCCGCGACCCGTGGCGCTCGCCACCGTCCTCTCGCCCTCCAGCAGCGCCAGCGAGAGGCGTGCGCTCGCCAGCGACGCGTGCACGCGCAGAGACACCAGCTGGTCCACGCTCGCTTTCATGCGGTACCTGTGTGCGTGTTCGCGAGCAAATGGTGGTGCTGCTGTCCGAGTGGTGAGCGCGCTGCGCTACGAACCCGGCTGCCCGAGTTCGATTACCGCTCACGTACGCCAGCACTGGTGGCGATTATCTGACAAGGACAAAGATTCCCCCCCGTGTAGCCTTAACAGACTGTTGGGGCAAGTGCTGTCAGCGAGCACCTTCTAAGGCCGGCACGGCACACAAGGGGGTGGGTGGCCAGCACCACGCCCGGCCGTCTTTGGTCTCCCCAGTGGCGATGTTTAGACACCGCACCAGGGACTCATTTTGAGGCTGGGTCGCCCTAGGGGAAGCCCAGGATGGGTTCAGATAATCGTCACCGCTGTTAGCGGTGTACGGGAATCGAACTCGGGTCGCCGGGTTTCGCAGCGCGCTGAACCGCTGCACGCACGCACGCAAACACACGCAAACACACGCGGGCTCGCCTCGACCTCTGACCTCATCGCGAGCCCCTGCTCGCCGGGGACGTAGTGTTCCCGAACGTCGCGGGCGGCGAAGGCGACGGCGATCGGCTCGCGCTCGGGCACGGGCAGCTGGCCGCCCGAGCCCACGATGCGCAGGCGCCAGCGCCCGCCCCCGCCCACAGGGGACTCCCCGCTCTCCGCGTCGCCCACAAACGTGTAGCCGCTCTGGTCGCAAACACGGTGGGGGGGCACGGGGGGTGGGGGGGGGGGGGGGGGAAGCAGCGCTGAGTGTTGGGGGGGGGGGGCGGGGGGTGGAGTGGGCGGCATTGGTTGCTGTCCGTGGCGCTAGGCAGGCATTGCGGGAGCGTTCAAGTGCATTTAATGCACGTGATATGCTGCGGCGTGGGAACAGGACGAAGAGAAAGATCCCCCCGTATGGCCTGAACAGACGTTCAGGGCAAGTGCCGTTAGCGAGCGCCGCCTTTGTCTCCTTTGCGGGGATGTTTACACGCCGCAGCAAGCACTAATTTAAGGCTGAGTTGACCTATGCGAGGCCCAGGACCGGTCGGTTCAGATATTCGTCACTGGTGTTGGCCGTCGCCGGGCATCAAACTCGGGTCGCCGGGTTTGTGGCACAGCGCGACGCGCAAACCCGGTTCAACGTTGTGGCACGCCCCATCCGCGCGGCGACGTCACCACCGCTCGCGCGCCAGTCAGGAAGCCAGCCAGCCAGCCAGAGAGAAACTCTTTTCCTCGTTTTCGTACGATACAGCCACAGCGTCAATCAGGGCGACCCGCTGGACTTGAACTGCGAGTATCCGTTACACGTGGCGAACACGCTGCCGCCAGGCGATGCCACGGTCCCAGCATTAGACCCCCGTGTATCCCCTACGTGTCTCCCGCCTATCCCCTCGTATCCCCTGCGTATCCTATTTATCTCCCACGTATCCCCTGCGTATACCCCGCTGCGTATCCGATGCGTATCTCCCGCGTATCCCCTGCATATCCTGTTCATCGTCCGCGTATCCCCCGCTGCGTATCCCCTGCATATCCTGTTCATCGTCCGCGTATCCCCTGCTGCGTATCCCCTGCTGCGTATCCCCCGCTGCGTATCCCCTGCTGCGTATCCCCCGCTGCGTATCCCCCGCTGCGTATCCCCCGCTGCGTATCCCCTGCTGCGTATCCCCTGCTGCGTATCCCCTGCTGCGTATCCCCTGCTGCGTATCCCCTGCTGCGTATCCCCTGCTGCGTATCCCCCGCTGCGTATCCCCTGCTGCGTATCCCCTGCTGCGTATCCCCCGCTGCGTCACCTTGTTGGGAGCGAACACGGCCGACCTGACCAGGCAGCGGGGGCCGCCACGGCCGCTGCGGTGCAGCAGTCGCCCCGTGTCATTGTCGACGATGTGGAGTGATGAGCGCGGAGCGGGCGAGTGGAGCTCCGCGGAGAGGCGAGTCTCCTCGGGCACGCGGAACACCGCCCTGCGCGCCGCGCCACACCGCACACGCCATTATCCGTGGACAATCCACTGCTGGGTGAAGGCGCGGTTGGCGATGCACATCAACAGCCGCCACTGGGCATCGTGGGGACAACGACGGGATCCAGAACAATGACACCACAAACACCACCACCGCAACTACTACCACCGCAAACACCACAACCACCACCACTACCTCCACTACCAGCATTCATTCATCACCATCAGCCATGGTCAATCCACTGCTGGACGAAGGTCTCCCCACGGCATCGCCATCTCTCACATCCTACGCTGGGAAAGAGCACCCAGCGCCTGCACACGGGCGGATTCTGTCGCTCCATCTCCACAGTGGACGAAACTAACCAGGCACGTTCCCTCGTTTGGCTGCCGCTTTCTCATCAGTCTCGACCGTCGGTACACCATCTGTCCTGACCAAGTCCACTCGCATTTCACGACACTCAGTGGGACGACATCTCTAGCTCCGTTGCTCTAGCCCACGTCTTCCTCGTTCCGTCTCTCAGTGTAACCCCAAGCGGGGTAGCTCTCTCCAAGCTTCTTTGCGCACCTGTGCTCGGTATTTTATTGTTTCTTTAATACCAACGTCCCTTATCTACGTTTTATCGTGACAAATACATAAATAAATAACTGCCGTTAGTGCTCGCTAACGGCACCTGCCCCGACAGTTTAGTCAAGGCTACCCCGGGGGGGATCTTCGTCTCTGTTGCACGGAACAAACGCGTGGGCCACCGTCCAGTAGCCCCGCTTCTCCGTAGCCCGGTGCTCAACGGGCCCCGTGGGCTCTGGTGTAAGTTGCAACGCCTGCGCACTGAAGCAGCTACACCACCGCCATCGCGTTGCATGTTGTAGCGTTGAACTTCCTTCGCGCCGTACGTAGCAAAACGTGCGCCAATGTCGCTCCCTGCGAAGCTACATCACAGCCACCGTGATCGTCGTCGTCGTCGTCGTCATCATCGGCAGCGGCAATCGCTCAACTACCTCGCCTGGTATACAGGAGGTCGTGGGATCGATCCCGACCGTTGCGCCTGCACACGCGGAGTCTGCATGTTCTCCCCGGCTCCTCCGGTTTTTCCCTCGACATTCACAAACGCGCATTTAGAGTCATTTGTCTGCAATTACGATACAGCCACTCGGTCGAGCTATCATTTGTGGCCAGGTCGATTCAGGAAAAGGGCTACTACACAGCTCAGTGGGGCCTTACCTGGTTGAGTTAAATAGCTTAGCAATCGCTCACCTGAAGAGCAGGAACCAGGAGTGGGGCGGCTGATCCGAGCAGCTGCCCGAGTAGTCGGCGAACGTCGCGCGGCTCCCCTCGTCGGCGGCGAACGGGAAGCGCCCCAGCAGTCGAGCGTCTTGCATCAGCACGTGCCTGTGGCTCGCAGGCGGGGCCACGGGCAGGCCGGTGATGGCTCGGACCACGCCTCACCGCATCTCCGATGTGTTATCGGTCGCCGGGGGTGGGGGGAGGTGGGGTTGTACCGCGCGTTTTTCGGCACGATGTCCGACGTTTCGGCGCGCGTCCGCGAAGAGCCTCTCGGCACGCCGGGCATCGTGAGCGACGGCACGTAGGCACAACCCATTCTGCGCGTGGTCATCGCCCGCCCAGGCCCTATCCAGGCTCAAGCCCGCTTAGTTTCCCACTTCTGGCTTTCGGGATCCGAGAGGATCGGGCAGATTCCGGGTGATTCGATCGGAGGCAGTGGTGGAGCTCATCAAGCGTGCAGGCGGTGAAACTGCACCACAGCCCGTGAGCCCGAGGAGGCCCAGGTACGTCTGGAACGCTCTTTCTTCCGATATTGCGAAGCCACTGGAGCAATGCACTTTTAAATCATCCCGTTTGAAAACTCATTTAATCATTACTGATTGTTGTGTTTAGTTTGTTGGCCATCACCCATACCTCCGATTAGCACGGTTGGCTACGTACGGTGCGAAAAAAGCTCAACATACATACATCTGGCCATGGTGGCGAAATGTTAACTACCTCGCCTGTTATCCAGGAGGTCGTGGGACCGATCCCAACCATTACGCCTGCATACAGTATGTGGAGTCTGCATGCTCTCCACGGGACCTACGGTTTTTCCTTCCACATTTATAAACGCGCATTTAGAGTAATTTGTCTGCAACAACGACAAGCCACTCGGTCCAGCTATCATTTGTGGCCAGGTCGATTCAGGAAAAAGAGCTAAACAGCTCAGTGGGCCTTACCTGGTTGAGTTAAACAGTTTCGCACATACAAATTCAGCCGTATATATATTAATACTGGTCCTCCAGCAATCCGAAACGAATTGCCTGCCTTAAAGGAGATCCGTCAGTAGACATTTCCACAAACGCAATTGGCAGGGCGTCCGACAATGGGTGACGGAGATGGGAGGGTGTGTGCCCGTTGACTCTCTCCACATGCAACAACAACAACAAGTGCTGCTGCTGGATGACTCTATCACCACATACAAAACAAGTGGGGCAATTGGACAGGAGCCTCCATCCACGTGTATACCATTCTCCCTCTCTCCCCCCCCCCCCATGCTACGCCACCGGTCGACGGGCCAACCGCGTCGTACGACGCGGGGGGCATTCCTGCAGGGTTTAACGCGCTCGACCAGGACCCTGCGGGATTCGCCACCGGCGCGACGCCGACGTACCGGAGCAGGGCGGCGCCGTGCCGCTCCGCGCCCGGCTCAAGCAGCGCCCACACGCGGCCCAGCGTCCCCTTGACGGTGGCGGACTCCGCCGTGCCTGCGGCGTCACACGAGGCGTCACACGAGGCGTCACACGAGGCGTCACACGAGGCGTCACACGAGGCGTCACACGAGGCGTCACACGAGACGTCGCGCCAGGGCTCGTCGCGCCAGCCTTCCGTGACGTCACACCAGCATCACACCAGCATCACGCCAGCATCATATCAGCGTCACGCCAGCTTCGTGACGTCATACCAGCGTCACGCCAGCATCACACCGGCGTCAATCCAGCGTCAACCCAGCGACGACGCAGCGTCACGCTAGCGTCACGCTGGCGTCACGCCGGCGTCACGCCGCCATCGCTGGTGTGTGCTTCGCGAGCGTTTCAGACCTGGCTTGCGAGCGTTGCACAAGCGCCGCGCGTAGTGGCCCCTCCACAGCGCCTGCACTCTGACCGCCGCCGCCGCCGCCTCCTCGCTGGTCACTACGCGGGCCCCCCCCCCACGTCTCGGGCGGCACCCCCGCCCTGCCTGACGAGGGGGGGGGGGTCAAACAAAACAATGACGTATGAAGGAAATAATGAAATCTTCTCGCAATACCAGCAGAAAGGGAGCACTACGCGTGGATTTGTTGTTTTGAGTTGGGGCACGTACAACGCAAGACGGCAATAACCACGACACCTTGCCGATCTCGTCAGGGAGCATAAAACATCACCACGCAAACTCCGGTGGTCATCCTCGCGGCAGCATTCGTGGCTTTTGGCTGGCCGCCGAACAAGGACGGTGGTCACCGAATCGTGCAGCGCTTTCAGATGCGCTTCCGCGTCCGTCTGGAACGCTCTTCCTTCCGATATTAGGAAGCCACTGGAGCTACCCACTTTTAAATGATCATCTACGTCGACAAACTAATTTCTTTAGAACTGCTTTTTGTGTTTAGTTTATTGTCCTTCCCCCACACCTCCGATTAGCACGGATGGCTACGCAGGGTACATTCATACATAATCATTATTGACAAGTAGGCTTTCGCGACCAATATTACTCATAATAAAGGTTTGTCACGTAAAGAACGCGCCAATTAGTGTACTACTTCAGTGTTGGAGAGTAAACCCACAACATTTACAATTTGAGTAGTATGACGTTTCGCTGACAAACCTTACTGGCTGTGTCGGGTGGTGGAGGGTTACGACACATTTATAGTGACGCGATCTAACCCAAAAACCTTTATTACGAATAATCATTATTGTTGCCACAAAGAGTGCAAACGGACTTTTGATGTCCCAAGGCTCCTCAGTATGGCACGTGCACAGCACACGCTTGTGGCGGTGAGTGGAGAGGGAGATGGAGGTAACGATGATGGGAGCGGAGGGGAGGAGAGGGGAGGGGAGGAGAGGGAGAGGGGAGGGAGAGAGGAGGGTGGCTTGTCAGAATTGAAACAAGAGATCGCGTGATGAGTGAATGAATTAAACAAAGCTCCATTACATGATTAATGGGGTGTGGATTTCAGAGTGGGCACGGCGTGGGGTGCTGCTCGTGGCAGGGGAAAAGGCTGTCGACTCACGCGCCCCGTGACTGACGGAAGAAATTGGGTTAGCGTCAAGCACACACCGACTTTCATTTACAATTCCAATTTTTGTTGCTGCTGTTGTTGTTGTCTCGTGCTTGACCATTAATAAGGGAAATCATCAGGAAAAGTGACATCTCCAGACAGCGACACTGACAAGTGGCAGCCCCTGTGATGCATCCGTGCGGCATTCCTCCCTGCGAATTACCACCCCCTGCCTCCCCGCCACACAGTGTGGAGTGTGTGTGTGTCACTGTGTGTGTGTGTCACTGTTGTGGAGAGAGTGGAGAGTTTCCCATACCTGGGCAGTGTGCTTATGACCGGCTCCAGTTTAACAGCAGAGGTCTCACTCCGAATCAGTCGAGCGGCAATATCTTTTCATCGGTTGCGTAACGCTGTGTGGAAGCTACCCGGTCTGTCGCTCCGCACTAAGCTTCAGCTCTTCTCGGCCACGGTCATTCCCTCCCTTCTCTACGCTTGCGAAACGTGGACCCCCTTAATGGAGCATCTTCGCCGGTTAGAAACATTTAGGCTGGCCTGCCTACGATCCATCCTGGGTTTAACCAGGCTGGACCGTGTGAGGAGCTCAAAAATCCTTGAAAGATCTGGGCAAGGTCCCATCGGTGAGCTCCTCCGGCAGGCAAGGCTGCGTTGGCTGGGTCATGTGGCCCGCATGCCCAGCCACCGCATGCCGAAACAGCTTTTGTTCGGCCGGATCGAGGGGGCTAAATAGGCGCGGCACGGGCTAGAGAAGAGATGGAGTGATGTGGTACAGGAGGACGTGGAGCTGAGTGGACTTGCCGATGACTGGTACCAGCGGTGTCAAGATCGGCCTCTGTGGAGAAGGCTCGTGAAGGACGCTACTGGGCAGTTGGAGGCAGTCGCCCTCCAACAACAACGGAGGGCGGAGGAGCGACGCTCACAACAACGAGCGGAGCGCCGGGTGGTTAAAATACAGCAGGTTGGCACAGTAGGGGGCACAGGTGGTGCATCAGCCAGTCATCTCAGTCAGTCGACCCGTGGCACCTGGGTCTGCCCCGTGACCTCCTGCCAGCGGGCGTTCGACACTCCACGTGGCCTCAAGGTGCACATGGCCTGGCACAAGCGTCGTGGTGACGTCACCGCCACTTATTGGCGAATGGCGGTTGTTGTTGATGTTGTGTCACTGTGTGTGTGTGCACAGAGTTTGTGGGGAGCAGTGGTGTAGCAGTTAGCGCGCTGCGCTACGAACCCGGCGACCTGGGTTCGATTCCCGCTCACGGCCAATACCAGTGACGATTATCTGAACCGGTTCTTGGCCTCCCCATAGGTCGACTCTGCCTCAAATGAGCACCTGGTGCGGTACGTACACATCGGCACTGGGGAGTCAAAGGTGGCCGGCGTGGTTGCTGGCGACCCATCCCCTCGTGTGCCACGTCGGCCTTCACAGGTGCTCGCTAACAGCACTTGCCCCAACAGCCTGTTAAGGCTATACGAGGTATCTTTGTTTTGGAGTTTGTGTGTTCTCCCCCTGTTCTGCACAGTGTGAGTGAGTGGGTCGGTGAGTGTGTGGAGTTTGTGTGTTCTCCCCCTGTTCTGCACAGTGTGAGTGAGTGGGTGAGTGGAGTTTGTCTGTTCTCCCCCTGTTCTACAGTGTGAGTGAGTGCGTGTTTGTGTGGAGTTTGAGTGTTCTCCCACTGTTCTGCACAGTGTGAGTGAGTGGGTCGGAGAGTGTGTGGAGTTTGTGTGTTCTCCCTCTGTTCTGCACAGGGTGAGTGAGTGGGTGAGTGAGTGTGTGGAGTTTGTATGTTCTCCCCCTGTTCTCCAAAGTGTGAGTGAGTGGGTGAGTGAGTGTGTGGAGTTTGTGTGATCTCCCCATGTTCTGGACAGGGTGAGTTAGTGGGTGAGTGTGTGGCGTTTGTGTGATCTCCCCCTGTTCTACAGTGTGAGTGATTGGGTGAGTGAGTGTGTGGCGTTTGTGTGATCTCCCCCTGTTCTGCACAGGGTGAGTGAGCGGGTGAGTGAGTGTGTGGAGTTTGTGTGTTCTCCCTCTGTTCTGCACAGTGTGAGTGAGTGGGTGAGTGTGTGTGTGGAGTTTGCGTGTTCTCCCTCTATTCCGCACAGTGTGAGTGAGTGGGTGAGTGTGTGGAGTTTGTGTGATCTCCCCCTGTTCTGCACAGGGTGAGTGAGTGGGTGAGTGAGTGCAGTTTGTGTGTTCTCCCCCTGTTCTCCAAAGTGTGAGTGAGTGGGTTGGTGAGTGTGTGGAGTTCGTGTGTTCTCCCTCTGTTCTGCACAGTGTGAGTGAGTTGGTTGGTGAGTGTGTGGAGTTTGTGTGATCTCCCCCTGTTCTGCACAGGGTGAGTGAGTGGGCGAGTGAGTGGAGTTTTTCTGTTCTCCCCCTGTTCTACAGTGTGAGTGAGTGGGTGAGTGTATGGAGTTTGTGTGTTCTTCCTCTATTCTGCACAGTGTGAGTGAGTGGGTGGGTGAGTGCGTGGAGTTTGTATGTTCTCTGTTCTACAAAGTGTGAGTAAGTGAGTGTGTGGAGTTTGTGTGTTCTCCCTCTGTTCAGTAGAGAGTGAGTGAGTGAGTGTGTGGAGTTTGTGTGTTCTCCCTCTGTTCAGCAGAGTGTGAGTGAGTGTGTGAAGTTTGTGTGTTCTCCCTCTGTTCTGCACAGTGTGAGTGAGTGAGTGTGTGAAGTTTGTGTGTTCTCCCTCTGTTCTGCACAGTGTGGGTGAGTGTGTGGAGTTTGTGTGTTCTCCCTCTGTTCTGCACAGTGTGAGTGAGTGTGTGAAGTTTGTGTGTTCTCCCTCTGTTCTGCATTGGGTTCCTCCGAGTTTTCCGGATTCCTCCCATGACTGAAAACATAACTATGTAACTAGTATCAGCAGCTAATGATCCAAATTATTATCGGCTTTCCCGGATAAATAAGCACGTTTTATTATAAGCATCGTAGACTCTGCAACAGTCATAGATGCGCCGCACCTTCTGGGGCTGTGCCGGTGGTGAGGCCAGGGAGGCTGAGGTCGCCTGTGAGGGCGTGGAGGGCAAACGGAAGGTCAGAGGGCACCGCTCCGGACAGGGCGCTGGCCAGCACGTGACACAGGCTCCGCGTGACGATCTACACGCACACACGAAGACAAAGAGTCCCCCGTATAGCCGATGAAGGCTGGCACGGCACACGAGGGGGTGGGTGGCCTGCGCTCAGCCCATCATCCTTCTCGGGCCAATAATTGAAGTGCCACTTCGTGGCGAAGCCAACAGTGGCTGTCCAATGGATTAACGCTCTTATTATTATTATTGTTATTTCCACAGTCACTGGCCCAAGGCCGCGAACGGGAGATGAGCACCAATGCCTCGATGCACACTTGAGCAGGAAGTCACTTTAACTCAATCCTTGTCACTCAAATCACCCGGAAACGAGCCCGACCATCGTCCGATCTCCGCACGGTAAGTGGTGTGTCGAGCAAGGATCGCGATTGGATGGATCCCACTGGCAGCTGTGGTGGGGGGGGGGGGGGGGGTAATTAGGTGATGCGCAGCAGGGCACAGTATGGCAGAGCTCACGTTGACTTGCTGTGCCCGGGACTCTACGCTCCAGCGTGCGTGTACTCGAGGCAGGACCCGGAGAAAAAAATCCACGCGACCACGGGGAGAGAGAGAGACACGCAAACTCTAGAAATAGCAGGTGTCAGGGTTGGGATCGAACCCACGACCTCCTGTATACCAGGCGAGGTAGTTAACATCTCCTAGCCACCGTGGCGCCCACTAATCTAACCTCGCACGGCACCGTGTCACTACCACTCACGTGTCAGTTGTGTCCCTGAGCCCCCCCCCCCCCCCCCGGACCAAATCCTGACCCCCTCCCCCATCCTCCCCCCACCCCCTACCCCGCGAGATGAATCCAGTGTGACAACTCCCTCCGCCTCTGGCCAGCGCCGGCTATTTACGGTGGTGGCGACGGCTCCTGGTGGCGCTCCCTGCGTCCCGAGAGGGCACTGGGGACAAGCGACACGGCCGAGCGTCGAACCGCGGCCAACGCCAACGCCAACGCCGCCGCCGTAGCAGCGGCCCGCAGGTTTCGCGGTTCCAGCCCCGGCGGCCGCCCCCCGGTCGACGCGGCAGGCGCCGGGAGAACGGTGAATCGGCGCGTGCCGTCCGCTACGCGGCGGGACGTGGGAAACGAACGGAAGGGCAGGAGGCCGTGCGTGCCGCCGTCTGCGGAACGCAACGCCCGGCAGAGTCGCACCGGGAGTCACGGTTGCTCGACTCGCTCGGGAGGTGCCACCCAGGCAACATTGCCCCCCGGGGTTGCGAAACGACTGCGGACCGCACCCGACTTTCGCGACAGCCTCGTGCGATGAGACCGGCGCGTTCATGAAACGCACTCACGAGTTGGGTTGTACCGGGGAGTCTTGCTGAGAACGCGGAGAAACCCCAGGACGCGCACGAGGGGATCGCACTGCAAGCTCCACACCGCTAGATTCGAGAAGCCATTGCTGTGCAATGGATGTTCGGCCAAATCCATCTTTATTGAGCGTTTGGCTGCGTGTGGGAGGAGGAAACCGGAGAGCCACTGCTGGAGACGAGGGGGCGGCACTCGTCACAGTTGGGAGTCACGCTCTGCTCGCTCCGGTGCTTGTGGTGCTGGTTGTGGTGGTGCTGGTTGTCCTAGTTATGGTGGTGCTGGTGGTTGTGGTGTTGGTGGTGCTCGTTGTGGTGGTGCTGGTTGTGCTGGTTGTGGTGGTGCTGGTGGTTGTGGTTGTGGTGGTGCTCGTTGTGGTGGTGCTGACGGTGCTGGTGGTGGCGGTGTTGGTGGTCGTGATGGTGGTGGTGATCGTACTGGTGGTGCTAGTGCTGGTCGTGCTGGTGGTGATGGTGGTAGTGCTGGTGGTGCTGGTGGTGGTGATGGTGGGGGCAGTGGCTGTAGTCATCGCAATGCTCAATGATTTCTGTCCACTCATAGCCAGCGTTGACAAGGGAAAAATCCCACTTCGTTTGGCAAATTTTGTCACAAATCTCGTTAACAAAATTAATGCCGGACGCAACCCGCCGGGTTCCGTCAGCGGGCGTTGAGGTCTATTTTATTGCCCATTGTTTATCGTGTTTGCGATAGCAATAGAACAAAAATATGGATTTATTTGTCCACTTATTTCTTTCTTCAATCGAATTAGGGCTGCCATGAATTTTTAATGACACCCCCCCCGCCGCCGCGGAAAAATAAATAATGAAAACTTTCAAAAACCCATTCCCGTCTAATGGAAGCGAGCGCGGCGAGGGATGAGCGTTTGAAGTTGCGTGCTTCCCGCTTCCCCTCCCGCTTCTCCTCTCGCTTCTCCTCTCGCTTCTCCTCTCGCTTCTCCTCCTCCCGCTTCCTCTCCCGCTTCCCTTCCCGCTTCTCCTCCCGCTTCTCCTCCTCCCGCTTCCCCTCCTGCTTCTCCTCCCGCTTCCCCTGCTCCCGCTTCCCGCTTCCCCTCCCGCTTCTCCTCCCGCTTCTCCTCCCGCTTCTCCTCCTCCCGCTTCTCCTCCTGCTTCTCCTCCCGCTTCCCCTCCTCCCGCTTCCCGCTTCCCCTCCCGCTTCTCCTCCCGCTTCTCCTCCCGCTTCTCCTCCTCCCGCTTCTCCTCCTCCCGCTTCTCTTCGAGCTTCACGCGCGTATACATCATCATCATCAACATCATTATTGTTATGATGATGCTCGTTAACCCCCCAGAAAAGGCTCAGAGTCTCTGAACTGCTTTCAAATTTGGAACCATGACGCCCGGCGCACATCGGCCGCCGCTTGCGAAAGACGTCACCGGACCTTTTGACGTTCCAGCGTGAGGCAGACGTGCGTTGGAATGGTCGATGCACACCGTGCTATCATCGGAAACTCTATTCAGAATGCAGGAGGAATCCGACGAGCTATGAAAGCTCTCTTTTGCGCCAGATGTCCAGTATGGGCGGCTCAGCAAGTCCCAACAGCAAACTATTCGGTAAAAAAGAGAAACCCCCAATATGTCAAGAGCCCCGATGCACGTGAATACGAGACGCTTGCCCCCTCCAGTGTTAACGTCGTTAAGGGAGGCGTAGTAAGCGCCGCTGTTCTTAAGGACATTTTTACTCACCGCAGCGACACGACCACCGCCACTCTACAACAGCTGTGCCCGCTCGCCCTCCTGCATGGCCTTGTGGGAGCCTCGCTGCCCAACGGAGTTGTTTTTCTTCAGTTTTTCTTCCGATTCCGTCCCCACGACGTACACACGCACGTCATGTTGAACGCGAACGGGTTAAGAATAAATAACGCGACGAAGCAGGTCCTTGAAGAGCCGCGTGCGGCCAGTGATGAACGTACGCACGCGTGGTGAACTTCTTTCGCACCGCACGTAGCCGTGTGAAATCGGAGGTGCGGGGGGGGGGGGAAATAAAAATCGTACGACGCCCAGGGGCGGAGCCAGGATTGTCAGCCCGGGGTGACATTCAACAAATGTTAATTTCAAGAATGATTTAGAGAGAGTCGGGCTGTTGAACTAGACGCCATCGGTTGGCGACACGCTCTGACAATGCAGTTGCACGGAGTCCGCCAGACCCGAGTGTCGTACACTTACACGCAGAATGTCACCCCCCCCCTGTCACCCCCCCCCCCTGTCACCCCCCCTGTCACCCCCCCTGTCACCCCCCCCCCCCCCGTCACCGCCCCTGACGACGCCCACCGTAAAGGGGCCGAGCTGGCGATGGCCGACCGTCGGCCCCCCGCCCCGGCCGCCCCCCGTGGCGTGCCTCGTCTCACCTGCCGCAGCGCGCTCCTCTCGCCGGGCACGCTCGCCCCCGCCGTGTCTATTCCCAGCAGCCCGTGGGGCGTCAGGGGCGGCTGGGGAGCGGGTCCCTGAGCCCAGCCGTGCGCGACTCCCCCGAGGGCCCGCATGGTGCCCAGCGCGTGCTCCGTGAAGCGGCAGCTCTCCTGCGTGGCGGCAACGTCGATACCGTCGGCGACGACGTCATCGTCGATAACGACGTCATCGTCGTCGTCGCCACGACATCTTCAGCGTCAACAATGTCATCGCCGGCGTCATCGTCAACCTTACGGTGTCGCTATCGGCGTCGTCATCGTCAACAACGATGTCATCGTCGTCGCCGTCGTCATCATCGTCAATATCGATGGCATCGTCGACTTCGTCGTCATCGTCAACGGTGACGTCATCTTCGACGTCATCGTCGTCTTCGCCACGACATCTTCAGCGTCAACAATGTCATCATCGACGTCATCGTCAACCTACGGTGTCGCTATCGACGTCGTCATCGTCAACAACGATGTCATCGTCGCCGTCGTCATCATCGTCAATATCGATGGCATCGTCGACTTCGTCGTCATCGTCAACGGTGACGTCATCTTCGACGTCGTCTTCGCCACTACATCTTCAGCGTCAACAATGTCATCGTCGGCGTCATCGTCAACCTTACGGTGTCGCTATCGACGTCGTCATCGTCAACAACGATGTCATCGTCGTCGCCGTCGTCATCATCGTCAATATCGATGGCATCGTCGACTTCGTCGTCATCGTCAACGGTGACGTCATCTTCGACGTCGTCATCGTCAACAACGCTGTCATCGTCATCGTCAACAACAATGTCATCGTCGTCGTCATCATCGACATCACTGTCACGAAGGACGACATCATCGTCATCACCAATGTCATAATGGCCATCATGATCATCATCTTTATCGCTATCATCAGCATTATCAATGTGGTCATTGTCATCATCATTGTTATAATTGTCATCACCACCATCGTTATCACTATCATGTTCATCAACATCATCACCACCATAACTGTCACCAAAATCGTTATCGTCACCATCACCATAATCATCGCCACCATCATCATCATCATCAGCATGATGGCGATGGATGAAGAGACCCCCATGGCCATCTCTCTCACGTCCCTGCCACCACTGCCGCACATAACGTGTTCACACGTGTGTTCACGCGCGTGTCGACGTGTTCACACGTGTGTTCACGCTACGACGGCGCGTGAACACACGTGTTCACACGTGTGTTCACGCCACGACGGCGCGTGGGCCGCGAGGATGACCTTGGCGAGGTGTGGCAGCACGGAGTCCTCGTCTCCGAGCAGGAAGCGCGTGGAGCTGCATGCGTGCAGGTGCAGCCCGTGCGGCGCCATCACGCGCAGACACAGCACGTGCCTCCTGCACAAAACAGAAACATCACCCGCGGAGCCTTTAACGGACTGTTGGGGCAAGTGCACGCACGCACGGGCGTACACTTGGTCGTGTGTGTGTGTGCGCGCACGGGCGTACACACACACACACACACGCGACCGTAGACTTACACGCGTGCGTAGATCATGTTTACACATAGAATCGGAATATGTATTTATAGACTGGAGGAATCCGATGAGCTTTGAAGCTCTTTTTCACAGATGTCCAGTGAAGAAGCGCTTCGTAGCTCATCGGATTCCTCCAGGGAAATTACAGATTCTCATTCTGAGACGAAGAACTCCCGTGTAGCCTTCAACAGACTGTTGAGGTGAGCAGTGTGCACCAACGAAGGCCGTCACAGCACACCAGGGGGTGGGTGGGCAGCACCGCGCCCGACCACCTTTGTCTCCCCAGTGACGATGTTTACACACCACCCCCGGTACTCCTTTATGGCTGAGTCGACCTAGGGGACGCCCAGAACCAGTTTAGATAACCGTCACTGGTGTTGGCCGTGAGCACACACACGTACACAAAGACAAAGATCCCCCGTAAAGCATTTACAGACTGTTGGGGCAAGTGCTGTTAGCAAGCACCTATGAAGGCCGGTATAGCGCACGAGGGTGTGGGTGGCCGCCTATCTCTCCCCAGTGGCGATGTTTTACACACCGCACCAGGTACTCCTTTAAGGCTGAGTCGACCTAGGGGAGGCCCAGGACCGGTTCAGGTAATCGTCACCGGTGCTCCCTGTGAGCAGGAACGGAACTCGGCTAGCCAGGTTCGTAGTGCAGCGCAACTAACCCACACGCTACTCATACGGGGTCATTAGCGCACGCCTGGGAATCAATCGTGCACATGCACAAAGACGCTGCCAGAAGTTGTCGCTTGGGACAAAATGTTGTCCCTTGGGACAAAATGTTGTCCCTCGGAAAATCCAAAGACGCAGGAAAGGTCCCTCGGTCTACGGTGGACAGAGGGGCCGTCCATAAATGACGTCACGCACCTAGGGGTGGGGTTCAGACATTTGTGACGATGTGTGACGAGAGGGGGGGAGGGTGTTTGAGAAATGTGACGTCACGTCAAAATGCGCAACTTTAAATAAATATAGACAAACACGTTCTACTTAATTAAATAGACTTTTTGATAAATGTGTTCTCCTACAACATCAGAGTGCAGCGCCACATTAAATACGCAATACAATAACAATAGTTTAAAGCGATTTGAAGCGTGTTTTATTTTAATTTTTTTGGTGGGGGGGGGGCAGAGCTTTGTGACGTCATATTTGAGGGGGGGGGGTCTGAATTTTTGTGATGCCGTGTGACGAGGGGGGTCAAAAATCGTCCAAATTCGCGTGACGTCATTTATGGACGGCCCCAGATACTTTTTTCCCCCCGTCGAGCCCTCCAGACTCGTCCGCGAGACGTTCGTTTCGGGGTTCTCTCCGAGCCTGCGGACATCCTTCAAACTCGTCCTAAATCTTCTCAAGGCAAATGGCTTTCAAGCATTCGCTTGAAGCATTACCTCGGCATTTTGTTTGCATTCCGCCGAATGATCGTCGCCCTGAGTATCTTGGTGCTGCTGCTGCTGCGTCTGCGTCTTGTACGGCGCGCTCCATCAAACAGAACGATTGCTCCTGCTGCTGCTGCTGCCTGTGGCTGCGGAACGCTTTTATCGCCAACCAAATCGTCGAGTTCACCAGAGCCCTCGCCACGCGGTGTCGCTGCGCGTCGCACAATGGACCCTCGCACGCCACGCCCCCTCCCCTACAAACCCCGCCCCCTCCCCCCACCCCCACCCAACACACTCTTCTATGGCCAACCGCAACTGCACTTAGGCGAAAAAAGACAAAGATCCCCCGTACAGCCTTAACAGGCTGTCGAGGCAAGTGCCGTTAACGAGCACCTATGAAGGCCGGCACGGCACACGAGGCGGTGGGTGGGCAGCACCACGCCCGGCCGCCTTTGTCTCCCCAGCGGCGATGTTCGCACCCCGCACCAGGTACCCATTTGTGGTCGAGTCAACCTAGGGGAGGCCCGCGACCGGCTCAGACAATCGTCACCGGTGATGGCAGTGAGCGGTAATCGAACTCGGCTGGCCGGGCTCCGTAGCGCTAACCGCTGCGGAATCGCTCCCCACGACCGCGCCCTCCCCCCCTCTCCACCGCGCCCCGTCCCTCCCCTCCTACGCCGTGCAGAAGCTGAGCGAGCGAAGGTGCGAATGAATTCGGAAAGAATGTAAGTAAAGTCACGCAGCAGTGACCTGCAAACGAGAGGCGTTTCTGCCTCCCGCTGCCTGGGGGCGCGCGCGCGCGCGCAAACATGCGTGCGACATGCGTGCGACATGCGCGCATGCACTCACTCACGTGCGCACATGCATTACGCGTGCGGGCGTACGCGCGCAAGAATTGCGTACACACACGCGGAACACGCAGATTCAGAGATATCCACTGTGCGAGCACCACGACCGCATGAACAAAAGCACACGCATGTGCATATATAGCCACAAGGACACATGCACACACACCCACACGTGCGCCCACACATACATACAAAAACCCCCCATATCGCCCATATCGCCTTAACAGACTGTAGGGGCAAGTGCTGTTAGCGAGCACCAATGAAGGCCAGAACGGTACACGAGGGGGTGGGTCGCCAGCACCACGCCCGACCGCCTTTGTCTCTCCAGTAGCGATGTTTACACACCGCACTAGGTACTCATTTGAGGCTGAGACGACCTAGGGGAGGCCCAGGACCGGTTCAGGTAATCGTCACTGGTGTTGGCTGTGAACGGGAATCGAACCCGTGTCGCCGAGTTCATAGCGCAGCGCGCTAACCGCTACACTACCGCTCCCCACACACATACATGCACACACCCACACGTGCACACACACATACCCACACGTGCACACACACATACCCACACATGCAAATACACATACCCACACATGCACATACATGCACACACATGCAAATACACATACCCACACATGCACACACACATACCCACACATGCAAATGCACACACCCACACATGCACACACCCACATAGAAACACATATACCCACACGTGCAAACGTATATCCACACATAGACATTGCACACGCACATACACCAACACATACAAACACATGAACACGTAACTAAATATATGGTTCTATTTGCACAGACATCCACCGAGACACACGCGCACACACACGCACAGATGTGCAACCTCAAAAGATATTCACAACAGCAACCCTGATTCTGCACCCGATGCAGGGGAAGCAAACACACACACACACGTGTGAACAGCAACTATTAGATGCGGCGTACAGGCGCACAGACACACATGCACACCTACACACAGGACAACACACGCACGTGTCTATCTATGCACACACACGCGCGCGCGCGCATTTACGCCCACAATCGCGAACGCTCGCTACCCCACGCGCCCATACGCAGCAACGCACACGCACACACAGCTGTGGATCCAGACAGCCACAGGGGCGCGCAGTCACAGGCACACACACGCGCGCAGGCACACACACACACATACACGCGCAGAGGCACACGCGCACAGGCACACACACATACACGCGCACAGGCACACACACACACGCGTACAGTCACACACACACACGCGCACAGGCACACACACATACACGCGCACAGGCACACACACATACACACGCACAGTCACACACATACACGCGCACAGTCACACACACATACACGCGCACAGTCACACACACACACGCGCACAGTCACACACACACACGCGCACAGTCACACACACACGCGCACAGACACACACACGCGGACAGTCACACATACACGCGCACAGGCAAACACACATACACGCGCGCAGTCGCACACACACATACGCACAGGCACACACACACACGCGCACAGACACGCACACACGCGCACAGCAACAAACACGCGCACAGGCACACACACATACACGCGCACAGTCACACGCACAGGCACACACACACGCGCAGTCACACGCGCGCGCCAGAGCACACGCCCGTGAAGGCGCGCATCCCATCACAGATGCCCACACGCGCAAACAAGACAAAGACACACACGATCGCACGATCGGGTATGCAGGCGGTCATGCACGTGCACATACCCACCGACATACCCACCGACATACCCACCGACATACCCACACAAAAGACGAAGATCCCACTTCCCCCAACCCATAGCCTTGACGGGCTCTTGGGGCAAGTGCTGTTAGCGAGTAGCACCCTACGAAGGCCGGGACGGCGCATCAGGTGGTGGCGTGGAAAGCAACACGCCCGGCCGCCTTTGTCTCCCCAGCGGCGATGTTTACACATCGCGCCAGGTGAGCGGGAATCGAACTGGGGTGGCCGGGATCGTAGCGCAGCGCGCTCCCAACTAAACCCACTCCACTGCACCCACACACAAAAACAAAGACATAGATACCCCAGTATAGCCTTAACAGACCGTTGGGGCAAGTGCTGTTAGCGAGCACCCACACACGCACACCCACACACAAAAAAGACAAAGATCCCCCATATAGCCTGAACAGACTGGAGGAGCAAGTGCTGTTAGCGAGCACCTATAAAGGCCGGCATGGCACACGAGGGGGTGGGTGGCCAACACCACGCCCGGCCGCCTTTGTCTCCCTAGTGACGATGTTTACACATCGAACCAGGTATCTCATTTGAGGCTGAGTCGACCTAGGGGAGGCCCAGGACCGGTTCAGATAATCGCCACTGGTTTTGGCCGTGAGCGGGAATCGAATTCGGGTCGCAAGGTTCGTAGCGCAGCGCCGCTAACCGCTCCACTACCACCCACACACCACACCCACACACGCGCGCCCATCCAAACGTTCAGGCGCTTCAACTCCACCGCCAGCCAAGTGGCTCTGTCCGAGTCTCGCCGCCGCCCTGCGATCAGCGAGCCCCTCGCCTCTGCCGCGATCACGACCCTCGCTGAGGGCCGGCGCTAATCAGGCGCCTCTGAGTATCGCCGTCAAGC